TGTAAATCTCACGATTTGTATTAACAAAATCCGCAATTTTTTGATAATTGTTAAATTGAAAATCGTACTCTGTTTGTAGTTCGTAATGATAGGACCCTCCTAATGGGGCAATAATTACATTATGTGAGGTAATAGTTCCTGTTTTGGAATATTGTTCGAGTAAGATCTCCGATTTTTCTTTTACGTTATACGAGTCTATATTTTTTATTGACTTTGCAAAATTATAATCTAAAGCGCAAAGAGCTTTATTCGGGCCACACGCTTTAAACCCGGCTGTATTAAATTGTAAATAATGAGTCAGAACTGAATTTTTAGGCAACCGTTCTTTGCCTATTCTCTTTAGAACATTATTTATGTTTGATTGCGAATATATGTCGCTATCCCAGCCTTGTGACCAAATAAAATCACTGTACTGATACTCCGCTAAATACTTTTCCCAGGAGTAATGAATGTTGGTAAAAATTAAGTTAGATATTCCAGATGCTGAGAGTAGGTAAGCCATTGTTGGACTGTGAGTCACACTGTTAGTAAGCCATGCGGCTTTAGGGGCAATATTTAAATGTTGTTTAAGCCATTGATGACCTGCAATAATGAAAGTCAGTAAATATTTCAATAACTTAAATGGATCTTAATTAAGATAATCTTAATTAATAATATTATACAGTTTATTGAGCTAATATTTACAAAATTTAATCTATCTAAAATTACATATTATCTAATAAACCTAATCCACGCGGCATGGTGCCAAGAACGCTAGCTGAATTTCCTCGCTGAATAGTTATGCTTAACCTTTGAGCGAGAAAAGAACTAGCTCTCTTTTCACCAGCCACGGCGTTAAGCCTAAAATAAACTAAAAAAAATTGTTTTCCGGGACCCCCACGGACCTAAAGTTTCAACAGCAAATGGCACAAATATCAAACATTATCTAAACATAAAGACTCATATTTGCACCATTTACTTACTTCAGCTGCCTCCGATGCAGCCCCAGCCCTGTCCCCTTAGATGAGAAGCAGCTAAAGTGTCTATACAAGTGTCTGCATCTTAATTGAAAAAAAAATGTTATTATTACCTTCTATAAACTGATGCACGAGTCCAAATAAATGAGTTGTAGCTTCATCGGGTTCCACCCATCCTCCAGTAGTAATTTCAAGGCGACCTCCTCGTATCAACCGGCGGAATGCCTAAAAATGTATTCTTACTAAGTTTATCAATTTTCAAAGACTACAATCTATCAAAATAACACGGATACCTTTGTGATATCATACCGAGCGATTTTTCTGCGTTGTCATTTGCCACCATTGGCTCAAGTGAGATACTTCATTCCAAGTAAAAGTTAAGTTTTTATAAAACTGAAGCTTTTTAACCAAATTTGATAAGATTTTATTGACACTGTTGTTATGGTATTGTTCATAGGTCTGCCTCCAAACAGAATCAACATGAGTACGGGGTATTAAAATGACCTATAAAATATAAAATCAATATAGGGTTTCATTTTTACGTCAAGACTATATAATTTACTTTATAATCTTTATTTGGTCTTTAGGGATTAAAAAAAATCACAAAATTAGGAAGCATTTAAAAATACATACATAATTCTACTATACAAGGACGCACTAAGAAAATAGTAAAAAGAAAGGGACATTTGTTTATTATAAACATAAAGAATTAACGTATTAAAAAGTAGTATAATATTATTTATCTTAATAAGTTAGATAATAACATAATACATTCTTGCCAAGGAGGATAGATTAGAGAAAACAGTACTACACAAGTTCAACATGATTCATCTGTTGTACCGACTCCACCTAGGTGGGATCAAAGCAGGAGGATGATGTTGAATGTATATATGATATATAAATTCTATTTAAAGATATCTATTTTACGGGACATAAAAGAAAATAATTTTAATGGTTCATTGCTTGTTACATTTTTATAAAAATTCTCGGGTAGAGTCGATAACAGCTATGTAGTCATATCTAAGGAATTTAGGTATCGATGCCATAATTATTATTTAATGTCATAAGCTGCCAGTTACTATTTGACTATTTTCTAGATAATTATATAATAAGTGATAATGATATTTACTTTTAAAGGTGGCCATTTAGGATTCCTCATTAGTGATTCATACCGACTGTCAAAAATATTATTCCAAAAATGCTTTTTCATTATCCAGGGAGGCTGTAAATTAATTTTACGTTTATTTTTTTTTAAATGTTTGTTTGGTAATATGAACAGGAAATTACACACATACCTCGATATCAAATTCAGAAAATTTTTCTTGAGCGTCGATATCAGCTACATATTGATGCAAAATAACACAAGTATATGGATTTGTTAGAACACTATAATTATAAAATGAAGGTTCTATTTCTGGAGTAATTTCTTCTAGTAAGAAATCTACTTTATCAGTGTCATCATATTCTGGAAGTTTCCGTGCGTGAAAATCGTTTATGTCTACTGTTTTATCGTTCACATTCATTCTAACAAATGACCCTTGAGAGTAATCGCTGGAATTTCCGTGCTGTTTTTCTGTTATTTTATAGTTCGCTTCAACTTCCGATTTATGCAAAGTTTGCTGGTCTATCGGGGGAAAAAATTGAGACATCCTTGGTATTTGGTAAAATCTTTCCACGTGAACTTCATTAGGATGACTGTTATTGCCTATTCTATCAAGTGAATTATCAACGGGAAATTGAATATTACTAGAGGGCAAAGGGTATGTGGCGTGTTCGAATGTTTCCCGAGCTGGCCTCACCTCACTTGGTTGCCTGTTATCTCGTCTGTGCGTTTTGAATTTCGAAGGACCTGTTATACTGCGTAATGTGTCTACAGCGGACAAAATTGTGGAAATTTTAGGACGTTGTTTATTATGTAACCTTTTCCCCTGTGCATATCCTGGGAATAAAGCTGCATGGGCTCTAAAATGATAAGGTGAAGATGACATGGAAATATTTTTCCAAAATATTTGACCACCAGTTTCACTAAATGGCCTCTGCACCATTTTTGTTTGGCTCCGAACGATTTTTCGTAATGCTGTTAAATGTAAAAAGAACAATAATAATTATAAATGTCCTAATTTCTTTACCTAGTTACTAACTTCTATGAAAATTAGATAATTTTAAGATTTATGATAACAACGAACATAATTTAGTTATAATACTTACTCTTTTCATAGCCGTTGATGTTCAAGACGAAAATCAAAACTATAAAAAAACAGGAACAGAATATATTCTTGCTAACAGCCATGCCTCGAAACAATGAGCAACTGACCACTGATTTAGTAATTCGGTATTACAAGGATGTTTAAAAAAATTGGACCGACAACAGACAATTGTATTTCCGTGTACTGTTTGTACTTTTCGATGGATTGTTACGGTTATACTAAAAACTGACATTGTTTGATCATTCCTTGTCAACTATAAGTCGTTAGAAATAATTTATTAGTGAAACATGAAAGTTAATATAGATTCACTAACTTTTCTCCCGCGGCTTCGCTCGCGTTGAAGCCCTTAAATAAATATCTGTCCCCTTTAAGAACAATTTATAACCCTTCTTCCAATTAAAAAATAATCTATGTCCTTTCTCAGGCACTAGACTATCTGTGTACCAAATTTCATTTATATCGGTTCCGTAGTTTTGGCATGAAAGCGAGACAGACAGACAGAGTTACTTTCGTATTTATAATATTAGTATGGATTTAGCTCCCACAATAATTTGGTAATAAGGGATTTCCAATTCTATTAGAAGTCTTTCCATCATCATTTCAGCCTGTTTTAGTCCACTGATCGAAATAGGCCTCTGCCACAGGCTGCCACGAAGCACGATGCTGTGCCACCTGCATCCATCAACTTCCAGTACAATTGGACAGGTCACTCTATATCTAGAAGAGCCATGATAGCTCAGTGTCCGGGCGCTCGCCTTTAATTCAATATACTCGAGCAACCTGAGTTGATCTCCGGTGCCGGCACCAATGAAATTGTTAATTTCAAGTGCTGAATTATCACGTGCTCAACGGTGAAGGAAAACATGGTGAGGAAACCTGCATATTTTCGAAAATAATAATTAAAAAAAATATTTCGAAGATATGTGAAGTCCGGCAATCCGAAGTGGGGCCGCGTGGAGGACTATCCCCTGATACCGTCTGTACAGAGGAGGCCTTTGCCCAGGAGTGGGACATGTATAGGCTATACTTAACTCTATGTCTATGTTCATATAGGAAACTACTAAATCTTACTTTATCTTTATATCAATTTCTGAAGATTTTCTCTATGTTCCATTCGTAGTTGAATAAAAACTCATTTAACAGTAGTTTAATTACATCAATAAGTATAGAGACTACAAAAAAGTGAAAAATTTGGTATTTTATTTCATCAATTTCGTATTAACCTGCGTTCATATTTTCTGTTGGATGGGTATTGTTTTAGGTCATAATTATAACTAAAAGAGAGCAACGGTACCACAGGACAGATGTAGAAAATTAATATAAAATAATATTAGTATTAATAATATTACTTTTAATCGATTTCATTTATCAAAATAATTTTATTTACGCAACAAAGTAAATAAAAGTATTATTGGAAATAAAGTCTTATACCGCTATATCGTGAGATCTTTAGATAATTTGATAGTGAAATGTTTATTCATAATTTAAAAAATTCACAAATTGATAAATTATAATTTTATAATAAAAATAATAAATTAATGCGTAATGATGATAATAATATATTTCGGCCACAGTCTTTCTAAATCTCCACCTCGCGATACTAAGATGATAGAGAGTTTTGCGCTTGCGCTATAGAATATCGTGAAGTCAGCACTATTTACAACTGATTGCCAACATTACGGTCAAACATTGGGCGGGACCGAATTATCGATCCAAATCTCCCCCAAACATTCCCGCCTGTTAACCGCGAGAACAAGACGTACTTGCAAACTGTCATATCAAAACAGATTTAAGTAGAATTGATCACAAAAGCCGTTTCAGACGAGGCTTTTATAAAATGGTGAGTAAAGCTTGAAATTTACTATAATAAAACTCCAGCTACAGGAAAGTCTAATACTACTTTAGTATTAGTTAATGAAAACAACCGGTATCTCAGAAAATTCTTTTACTTTTTACTCGTATTATTTTATAGCATCAACCTGAACTAAAATTAAATATCATAATATAGCACCTAATGGATCAATTCTAAACGTATCATCGTAAGGTATCCATTCATAATATAAGTAAATTACCGTTGGGTTGACTCCTAACTGATTGTTTATGTTCTTTCTGCTTTTTAATAAAAAAATTGCGGACACTTGACGATGTGAAATTTTAAATTTATTGAAATATAAATAATTTTAACGCAACGCGCTATATTGATGATCACAATGCAAGATTTATATATAATCGGTATGGACCAGTTAAGGACTAATTAATGAGATCCTGAAAATGCTAATAAAAATAGTGTAAGTTTACTCCTAAGACAGATAAAGAAAACAGGTCCAACATACCTTCTCTTATGATTTAAACAAAAAAATAATATTTTGAATGTAAATGGCAAAGGTAATAATTACTATTAAGGAATTCAATTAATTGTATGAATTAATAATCGATTGTTAAATACTCTAGACGGAAACAAGTATTAGTAGCCTAAATAGCCACATAAATGTCCCTTCATTTAGTTAAGAAAACAAATTTATTTCTAGGAAACAAGTAATATGAGCACTTCTGGATTGTTAGAGTGGGAGTTTTCTTTGCCATCTGACCACATAATATCTCATGGTTGGTACCACGGAGCTTTAAGCCGCACAGCAGCTGAAAATTTGCTGCAGCAAGATAGAGAGTTTTTAGTGAGAGAATCCTCCTCGCAACCTGACAATTACGTTCTTAGTTGTCGATCTAACGGACAACATTTACATTTTGTCATTCAAAGGGTAAGTACTTAAGTCACATATTGCCATCGAAAGTGAAAGACCTATTTACATTATCGCCCGTTTTTAGATTGTTGTCCATCCTGAAACTGTTTATGAGAGATATCAATATCAATTTGAAGATGAGGCGTACGATACAGTTGCAGATCTTATTACATCTTACGTCGGGTCCGGTAAACCAATATCAGCGGCTTCTGGAGCAAGAATACAATATCCGTCAAATCGTGTTTCACCATTGACCAATTATATGCCGAACGAGGAAATAAACGTGGGCTCACCAATGACTGAAGCATCATCATACGGCAATCCTTATAGTTTATACAGTCATTTTGCAGCCAAACCAGGTATGCAACTTCGAGTCCCTTTCAAAAAGCAAAGATCACACTCGTTGACACCAATAGATATAACTCAGCACATTACTCATGGCAAAAGTGCGAGTGCTGATGGCGTTATTCAAAGCCAAGGAAATAAACATTTTAAAAATTTCTCAAGTGATTCCAGCTCTGGTTCGGGCACTTGGGACACGAATTTACCCATGAGTCCACCCGCAAAACCGGCACGATATGATGGACCAAAGGCTGATGATAGACGAATTGAACTTCAGAGGCTATATCACGTATCTGGCTCGGATTCAGGCAACGGATCCGGTGATTCTACACAGAGCTCAGCCCACAGTGATCCTAATAAGTCAAGGATGGACTTGGATTATAATTTAGCTACACCAACAATAAAAAATCAATTTGATTATGACGTTACGGAGGCTAAGTTACTTCAAGCTGATAATTTAGATTACCAAATTGAATCAAGAATCGACTTGGAAAACTTTCAATCACAGATTATATTGGCGAATCTAACTAAGCCGCTGGAGTCGGAAACATTGCACACGATCAAATTGCTGTTACGTACATCTGGGCCGCGAATTTTGTCAAACCACATGACAACAGTAGACTTACGTTTTTTATTAGAAGATGCCGTGCAGATCGAGGGTCTAGATAAAATTGCCTCTGGGTTAGAGTTATGTTTTTTGCCTCAAGGTAGATCTCTACGTGTGGATGTCATTGAGAGGTATGTATTTTAATTTTTTAAAAGTTTAAGATGTCGCAGTTTAAGAAGATCTTTACTATTTCTCAGGGTCGAGACGTTTCGCCTTCTTATAGCTGTGACTATACTCACTTGTCAAACAGATCGGCAAAGGGCAGATGTAATAAATGATTGGATACTTTTAGCGGTAGAGACCAAAACCGCTCTAGGGAACCTTTATGGATTCTCAGCTATTATGTTTGGACTTTGTATGCCACAGGTGAGGTATTGGTGACGAAAATTTAATACTCGCCATTATTTTATTTTATGATGTTAATAATAGTTATTTAAAGTATTTTAAATTACTATTGTTTGTCTACATAGGTGGAATGTTTGGAAAACGCGTGGAGTATATTACGTCAGTCTTACACTGATAACGCATTTATGTTTGAAGCTAAACTAAGACCATGTTTCAAAAGTATGAATGAAGGAACAAACCCACTTCCTCCAAATACAACAACGCCCTACGTGTTACCACCAGTTATGTGCTTTCATAAGTTTGGTAGGTTTTTTTTTATTGACCTTTTAGTTGATATACTTTAATGCTCAGGTCTGAAAATACTTATTATCGCAGATGGGGACGGCGGTAGTCTCATGCCACCCGATGGAACATTCCCCAACAGTTTGATGAATACCCTTGAGTTTGACTTCACCACTACAGCGGCACATCTGGATGCGGCAAGACACTTTCCCGATCAAGTTGAAATGTTTAAAAGGAACGCAAGGACAGTCGTCCAAGAAATGTCATCGTTAGGACCCACTTTGGATCCAGTTCTTCTTGAATTATTCAGAACTGAATTTCATATAAATTTCCTGTGGGGAGAAAGAGGGGCGTTGACTACGCCAAATCAAAGATTTGCTAGGCTTACTGACATACTGACCGCCATGGCAACAAAATTAGTAAATCAGCCTTTGATGCCCGAAGATGCCGTCTAAATTGATCGAAAAAAAGTACTAAATGAAAAGCATAATATTAAAATTGTGTCATATCAAATACCAGTCGGAATATGTAATAATCCGAAATAAACTTTGATTTATTAATTAAGTAAATATAATGATACAATGCTTATATTTTGAGAATATGATGAAATAGATATTTAGGTTATATACAATCAAATTTTATTGCTAATTTCTGATAAAGAAATGATTTCTGTTACTAGAATTTAAATCATTTTATGTCACGGAAATTAGGTTACTCTTGGGATGACTTTAATTGGAGTTTCAATATGATACTCGTTTATATTATGTTAACATAATTGCATATGAAATAAATGATGCTTGTAGCCAAATTTCTGATTTTGATTTAATAAAAAAACCTTACAACAATGTAAATTAAAAAAATATTGCCACTATTCATTTATTACAAAAAATAACCGAATAATTGATTAGATCATCATCTTCTGAGGCGTTACTGCCGCGGGTGGGCCTCAGCCTGGTCAAGTATGGGCCTTAAAACGTTAAGCCTCATTATATGGGCCTTATAACGTTTGACTCATAATAATAGTAATTAATGACGCATATCTATATGTTAATACGTGAAAACTTCTGTAGCTTTTTTTAATACAGTTTATTGCCGAGCAAGCACTGCATATTGCAGTTATCATGGCTCTGAGATTGTCTCTCTGTAGGTGGTGACCAATACGAAACAGACTCCTTTATTTCAAATTTCCATCAGAAAACGAAAAAGACTTAATTATACAAGTAGGTATATTTCTTTAACAAAAAATGCTTTGATGATCATTTCATTTCTTTCAAGGTAAATCTAGAAATTGTGATTCACGATTTAAGCATGAAAATTGTTAAAATTTGTAGAAAAGATGGAACGATATATTTTAAAAATTGTATTTATTATTGACTTTTCGATTAAGTGAACGGATTAAGATGTGAAGTAATGAAATGGGTTCAGCTTCTTCTATTTGACCGCATCCAACGTAGGGCAGCTAGGGTTATCGACGATCAAGGTCTTTCCGATCAGCTTGATCCTTTGGCTATGCGCAGAGATGTTGGGTCCCTCTGCATCTTCTACCGCATCTATCACGGGGAGTGTTCCGAGGAATTGTTTGGATTGATCCCAGCGGCTGAATTTCACCATCGGACATCGCGCCAAAACCAAAAATTTCATCCACACCACCTTGATGTCCAGCGTTCCACAACAGCGCGATTTTCAAGGCATTTCCTGCCTCGCACAACCACTCTGTGGAACCAGCTGCCGCCGGCGGTCTTTCCGAACCGTTAAGACCAGGGAACCTTCAAGAAGAGAGCGTACTCATTCCTAAAAGACCGGCAACGCATTTGTAAGCCCTCGGGTGTTGCAGATGTCCATGGGCGGCGGTGATCACTTACCATCAGGTGAGCCTCCTGCTCGTTAGCTGCTTTTTTCCCATAAAAAAAAAAAAAAAAAAAAGCGCACATTAGAAATATACGGTATGAAGTTGCTTGCTGTTAAGTCGATTCATGAACTGAATATCCACTTCCTGAATTACTACAAACAATATTTATACCGTGAGTCTAATGTTGACGACCACGCGCTTTAGTGACTCCGGACTAGGAAAATTCATTGATGCATGATGAAATAAAAATAAAGGAGTAACAGATTATAAATTAAAAATAGTCTGTCATGAAGAACTCTATTTATTTTCATAAATGACACACAGAACTTCTAAACATTAACTATTTTTGGTAATAATAATAACAGTTACTGAGAGTTACGACAAAGGATTAATTGCATTGTTTACTACATTTCAACACTAATGCACATATACATATTTTACGAAATATTACATATTGGGACACATGTATCGAAAAGATGACTAAATCCCAGAAGCTAAACATGGTCTATGATAAGTATTACAATTAATCACAATATGTTTAGAAATAGTACAAAATATAATCTTAAAACATTACAGAAAATTATAATGAAAATAATTGTTATCCAAATGCGCCAATGCGTTTTTTTAAATCATAACTATTAAATTTTTAATATATTCTTTTTAAATACAAACTATGAATTAAGGATTTTATATTAAATATAACTTTTCCGTTAAAAATACAAATGTCCTCAAGGGACAAAGAATTATAGTAAGTAAGTCTTCATCCTAACAATAAAACATTAAGGCAAAAATATATTATGCAATCATATTATAACTTAATTTTTGACAATAAAAAATAAATGCCAGCCTTTTTACAAATTTAAAAATATTAATGTTCATACCTTCCTTGTTGTCACTTTTCTTACATCCTATTTGATCCAAACTAATCAGTATACATTGATAAACGAAAAAAAACAGTTACTATTAAGAATCTCGGAACTTCATTTTAATATTATATACTTCAGATTAACCCATATTTTTCTAGTGAAGTCAGTGAATAGTGAATTTATTATTTGACAAAATTTTAATAAAGTTACACCTAATGGTTTGACTGCATTATTACTATAACTTGTTTATTATATATGATTATGTCCGAAGATAATTCCTAGAATAATATTATTATTATCTAATGATATAAATGGTACACAGAAACTGACCAGTCACAACATTCATATTTATTGAAATACTAAACTAAGCACTTATAACATTTAAAATTTAAGAGACTTAGCCAAAAGTGCCACCTTAGCCTGTGTTTTATCACCTTGGAATCTTCTTAGCTCCACAATAGCCTTAAAAACGAAAAAATTACATGTTGAAAAGCGCCTTAAATGAGAGAAATGACACCACAATTAAAAAAAATAGTGTCAAATATATGTTTATGTTTAGTTATTCCTGACTTCTTAACTATAATACTTTATCTGTAACATAAATATTATAGCATTTATGTAATTTTATCTTTGAAATTTCTTGAAGTGCAATTCCAATAGCAAAAAATAACATGATGAAGATTGCTTGCTTTACTGATAAACCTGAAAAATACACTATCTTAAACTAACCTGTTCCCTGGTAAATCCAAGATTCACAATATCTTCTACATCAGCTTCATTGAATAAATCAGTTGGAAGTATTGTCATCCTTGGGTTGCTAAGACCTATGAAGGAAAATATTTAAAAAACACATGCGAGTACAACCTTAAAAAGAAATTACAAGATATAATTATACTGTTTTACTTAAATGATGTTGAGATGAACATGCTTATATTATTTTCTTTACCAATTCGTTGATGTTGGGGTTGGTCCACATTCATAGGTGTCTGGGCGCTGGTCGTGGGTCTCGAGCCTTGATTTTTTCCTGAATCTGTGAAAGTAACATTTCATCATTTTTTAAAATTGATGTGAATATAAAGAAAATGCATTATTACCAATATGATCATAGTCATTCAATATTAATTTTAATGCTGTTATCTCATAGATTATAAATTGTCAAAGGCATATAATTTTTTTCTTTAAATTATTATTATATTAAATTGGACTGCAAGATGTTTTATAACATTCCCTAATAACCATGTTTTATAACATTCCCTAATTACCGTCTCGAAATTTCTGATTTACAAATATTATGAATTGTTGAAATATAATTAAATAACTGTATTTCATGAAACTATTCACACATGCTTTGCACTTAACTTTATACAACCTCTTTAGACTGGTTAATAGGAACAACCAACAGTGTGTCAAATAGTTAAGATATTAAAATATTGCTTCATCAGATTTAAAAAAAAGGGGGAGAAATGGATTGGCAATCTAAGAGATCTACAAAACAAACTCATATAAATAGGCAATATGCAAACTAAATAATGAAAGTCCTTTTGATTGAAATGCTATGTACACCCCACTTAACTGAAAAATTTACCAAATTCTATTTTTATAATTATCGGAATATTATTTCAAACTTTAATTTTGAACATGTTACAGATATATTTACTATATAACTACTCAATAATTATTTGTATATTGGGCATTAAGATCACAAAGAAATAGATATATAATTTTGAAATATCAAAACCAAGTGTTATTTTATTAAGAAAAGATTTTACCAAAATAATTGATTTAATTAATATTTCTGCAAAATACGCTATTTTATTAGATGTTTATTAAAACAAATTAATTACCTTGAATGTCACCTCGAGTAGAAAATATAGAACACTTAACATGCAAAGTACATAAGCTGGAATTCAAAAGTCAGTTCAATTTCAAAATATATTTACTTATACTGATCATTTTATTTCAAATTATATTTTGTTACTGTCTTGTCACAAATTAAACAATATAAAAACATCATTACTTATTGACAACTATTTAAGTAGTTAAATGTTACATGTAGATGTTTTCTTATTCATTTCAAAATAAATTAATTGTATTAGGTGTGTGAATGTTACACTTGTAGTGCTATATTTTAATCTTTGAAGTAAAACAAAGAGTTTAGTGTATTTTGTTATAAAACTGACATTGCAATATTTTTATCTTATAATTTATGATACAAACTGAATATTTAGTAACAATGGAAAATAAAAATTAAATTGCAAGCATATCATATTTATTTCTTTTTCCCACGCCCACCTTGTTTTGATTTATCCATAGCTTCTTTCATTTGGCGTTCCTCATGATCGCGCAAGGACTGGTTGACAATTTCATCTTCAGAGTAGCCAGATAAACGAGCACATTCTGGTAGTTCAGATTCAGGCAGAAATGGTGTCTCAGTGCCAGTAGTTCCAATACGCAAAACATTTCTTTTCAAGTCAATGTTGCACTGTTTATAAATTTGAAGTCAATATAAATAAAATACAAATTTTATATGCAGAATCAATTTTTAAGGATAAAAGTGGGCACTTTGTTACTTGTTTATTACATATATGAATATTAAATGAAAGAATGTAATAAGTTTTGGATTTTTTGCATTTAGCACAGCATAAACTATAATTAGTCTTGTAATTTGGAATTTTGTATAGACATGTGTTTGTATTTACGAATTTTTATAATGTTAAGAACACTATTCACATATTATTTTTTTTCATAGTAATACTTCTAACATTTGATTACAGTATTAATTACAGAAGGCAATAAAGTACATATCAACGGAAAGACCTAGAAACTAAGAATATTAAAATTTAAAATACCTGATGCCTTTTCAACATGTCTAAGCCAAGAAGCATATCCATTGGCTGTTCTTCCAACACTGAGAATGATGTTGTTAGAAAATCTTTCTCAATTCTCATCTGCACCATATGAATACGACCAATGATACGTTGGACACCCACACCTTTTGCAATTCCTGCCCATCTATTGATTATAATTTTTCATATAAAAATATTTGATAAAAATACCAGCAGAGTTAGGTGATAATAGAACCATGCAAAAATCACAAGGTTTTTAATCCTCTCTGATTATTATAACACAAGAGGGACTATAATTATTTTCAATTATTAAAGCATATGAAAAATATTTTTTTTACTTTAGCTTTAAAGTAATTCTTATACCTGGTGTCAACAAGGCGCATGATGTTGCATCTTTCGGCACATGCTGCAGACATTATGGTAGTTTGTGCACCAGAATCAATAAATGCTTTGACAGGAAATCTGCAAAAATATAAAAATAGATAAGCTATCTTAAAAATATCTATTACGGCATAGCGTTTCATTTCCAAAGGACGAACCCATTAACATGACAGTTAATATACAACATGACAACTGTTCCAAACGTTTCTGGGTTGTATTCCATAGCTGCTTCCATATTGGCCTCAATATTTTTTTGCCGAATTTCTTCAGCAATCATTCGTTGCGCCTCTGTATCAAATGGATCGGAATTCATCATCCTGTTGAATAATAACATTCAATTAATTACATATACATTTGTTTTTATTCTTTTTTTAAAAGCAGGTAGTGCTACTCTACCACTACTTTCTTCAAACTGACTTTTAAATGGGTGTTGAACCAACAGAAAACAACACATTAGTGGCCCTTTCTAGTGCACTATTTGTTAGCTTGCTGGTGACATAGCCTTGAAAATGCATGCTGGTTAATATTCACCTGGTAGCTACAATGCTATTAGGTCAAATAATTTAATGTCAATGTTGTTCAATTCCCTACATTGAGTCCACTGATATATCAGTGATTTTGCCTATACCAAGTAAATTAGCAATATATTGAGAATTACATACTAAGGTGAGGGGCGTGAAAATATTGATTTTACTTGCTTATGCCAACTTCAGTGGAATACCTGTAAATAAAAGAACATAAAACAACAAGTCAGAATGATGCACAACATGAACGAAACACAAGTTATCCTATATTACAGCAGTTTGTAAATGTAGGCAAAATAATAATTAAAGACAATTTGTTAGATGTAAGGTAAATCCTTAAATCTAACAAATTGTCTTTAATTATTATTGCTACTATAATTGGGATAAAAGCTACAGTTTTATAAATAAAACTGTAGCTTAAAAGCAGTTTTATAAATAAAACTGTAGCTTTTATCACAAAATGTGATTTAATCACACCTTTTGTAATTCAAAGCTTTCCCAGTCTTTTTCAAATAATTTTGTTGTTAAGTTATAATGTTATATTTTTATATGATACAGCATGGCATTACAACCACAACAATAAATGAACACACTCCTAACGCTACTTGCTAATACCTATACAAAATATAAATGTTAAGTAAAAATCCATAATTAAAATATTAATATAAAATTTTAAAACAAACTAAGTAAATAAAAAGAAATTAAATTTGTAACATCCTATACAACTACAACTGACTGATTCATACATTTAGAGACTTTTTAATTTATTGCCATAATGTTGCATTACAAGTCTCTCCTTCTAACAGTATGATTTATCTCTTTTAAATTTATTCAACCAATTCATATGCTTTGTGACCTTTACAAAAAAACTTTACATTAAAGTTTTATAAGTATGGGTGTTCTAAAATTATTAGATTTGGAAAATTTAATAATTCTGTAAATATTGATGTTAAAGACAGTAAATGTTTATTACAATTTTAAAAAGTTATCCTCTATATGTGTGTTGATTTATGGTCTAGTTAGTAGAGCCATGTTGTATATTACTGTAGCCATATGTTGAAATATATTTAAATTTCACTTAAACTTATCTGAATTATATATGATATTGTTTATACTCCAAATATCATGCATGAAGCCTCATCATTTCAGCCGGTTTGAGTCTACTGCTGAATATAGGCCAGCAGTAGACTCAAACAGGTAGCCTAAATATTTGAAACAATAATCTTCTCTAGAATGTGGGTATAAATATAATATAAAATGCTATTTAAAATGTGCTACTGTTGTTATAACAGGCAATCTTATAGGGGGAAAAGTACCACAGCATCATAGAATACTGAGCAAGGTAATCTGGATATTTTTTTATAGTTGGTTATGCATGCACAACTCTACAGGTTTTATAGGTGTCCATAAACAGCGGTATACAATTAACATCTGGAGGAGCTCCTGCTCATTTGCCACTTTTTGAGTATAAAAGCAATAATATCTAGTGGTTTCTTAATGGTCCAATAGGCATTTTGTAATAAATAAAGTTGTTCTAAAGACAATCTGCCAATCTCAAAAATAATTGTTCAATCAATTTCAAATTAAAAATTTCATTAAGAGTGTAACAAATTATTTAAGTTTGATTGTTGACAACATGTTTGTAAAACATAAATCTAAGCTTTTTACATGCTTTCTCCATAAAAACATTTATTATGCCAAATCTCACCCTCCTTTCCATGAATGCAATATGCTTAAAAGGGGATATAAAAATTTTATCTTCACACACACATAGAGGTGAGGCGTTTATACTTCAACCGGTTTTGACACTAGGGGTCACTCAATATATCTCAGGACTGAGTATCAATAACGAGTATTTAGAAGTATTGACAAGTTAGGGTTTGGGGGTTGTTAATAAACGCTATTAAACGCGGCTCTATTCCGGCCCTAGCGAATCGCGATTAGAGAACGCGTTCGATGGAAATTTGTGTCTGTGAGTTACATGCCAATACCGAATAAAAATCGACTCTATAACTCAAGGATAAAGATTGTTTATTATAACGTTTTCAACTCTTAATGCTTATAAAACGCTTTCACGCATGTTGAGTGTAATGGATGCTCGACCTAAAATCGATAATTTATGAAGTTATTTCTTTTGGTGCATTTAAAAAAAAATATGAGAGTAAAATATTTACGATGCGCGAGCAAACCGAAAACAAAAAAGTGACACGGTATTACCAAGAACAACATTTTTTGACATTTAGCTAAAGTTCCAAGTAATATATCAAACAACTGACACAGGGTATAAAATTTTTTAGTTTTTTTTGTACGCTAAAGAAGTAAAGCTCCTTAAGTGCATACTTAACTAAGTACAATTAGTTTTTTTTTCAATTAAATAGACTGTACAGTAGCGTTGTCTAAGATATGTGTATAATATCGAGTGCAGTTAATTCATTATACATTAACATTTAACAGAACTTAAGATCCCTGGTTTTAATTTGAGTATTAACAATAATTACGAAAAAAATTATATATTAAATGAATCTAAAATTATACCAACAGGAAAATAATTTATTTACGTTATCACGTTGAACGCCACACGGCCCACCGGTGGGCCTGGGTGGAGTATTTGAGTGACCTGGCCCACAGGTGAGCCACATGGCCTCATCGAAAGGAAACGCGATTTTATTTCCGCGGGGGCCACGTGGGTCACGCTGCGGCCCGTGCACTTCGTCCCGCACGCACACATTATTCGCCCGTCCCATGTAAATTCAAATATTCAACTTTTTTGACTCCAGTGACACATAGCGTACGTGCAATATCTGATTTATTTTTAGGGTTCCGTACCTTAAAAACGTAATAAAAGGAACCCTTATAAGATCACTCTTGTCCGACTTTCACCACCCATTTTCTCAGAAACGGGTGAACCTAGTAAGTTAAAATTTATACCACATACTTAGGTCTATAGTCCCGATTAGTTGTATCAAAATCAAGGTGCCGAGTAAACACGATAAAAAGATATGGCCAAATTTGGATTTTGCTAGATCCACCCGTTCCTGAGAATATGGGTGGTGATTATTTACCAATTTTATTTTGCTGTTATAGTGGGAGGTCGGAACCCTCAGCATACGAGTTCGGTCGGTTTTTTTTTTATTTTTTAAGTTTTTTATTGTTTATTATGAATGAAGACGGTTTTGCAGACTTTATTATAACACAAGAAGACCACAGAAATAGATATAAATCTCCTGAATAACAGATTTATAGTAAATTTGTGTAACGAATCCGAATTCAATATAATAAAGGTAAAGGTACTGCACCTTTATTGGATCGAATGACAATAATACTCCAGTCCATTGTGAAAAACAGTCAAGTGGTACAGAAAACCTACAATTGATTTGTTATAGAATATGTCAATTGTCAATGCTTTGACATTGTTCAAGACCATAACAAATATGAACATCCAGATTGTGGGCTTCAGAAAAGAAATTCTGAAAAACTTGTGACACGAAACCGAAGAAATTGTGTCCGCTCAAAGGCGTAAAATAAGCGAGAGAGGAAATAATACAACTTCAAGAAACCTGTATCATACAAAAAACGATAGATTCTCCTTTATGCAATATATCCACTTTTTTATTTTTAGTAGAGAACAACCCAACAAAAGTAAAGAAAACTGTGAATAAATTCTAAGTCTATTGTGAGACAAGAGAACCAAGCTGACTAGGTTGTTGTAGGAGGCCACGCGGCCCAGGCTACTAACATTTTTGTATGATATCAGTGTGTAGTGGCCTGTAAAATAGGTTTGAATCTAAGGCGTGGTGTGGCTCACGGGTGACCCGCGTGACCCCAATGGTTCAGTATGGTTTGGCTCACCGGTGACCCGCATGGCTCCAATGAAATGTACTATATTTTCATGTGGCATTCAACGTGTTAAAACAATGGAATAATCTATGTAGAAACTAGGAACTAGGCAATCCCTAGAGTACTTAGGTGACAAGATGTATACTTCTAAATACTTGTGTTTTCTTTTGAATGCAGATTTACATGAACTCATAAGGTGTTTTAACTGATACGACTCACCTCTACATACACATACAGAAATGCTTATTAAACTTACATGTTCACCCACTGTGGCTTAAATCTAAACAATCAATGTAATTTTTTTATGAATAAATAAACCTTTTATCAGTCCCAGTTAAAATATACTTAATAGGTTTAAATTTTATTCCATTTGTAGGTGTAGTATTGCGAGACCCATCTTAGCTCAGTATCTGGGCGCTCCTAGTGTTGGCCAATGAAATTTTTAGTTTTTAAGTGCTGATTTATCACATGCACAGTGGTGAAGGTATAAATTGTGAGGACACACACATATTTTCAAAATAAAAACAAATAAATATATTTTTAAGATATGTGAATTCTGCCAGTCCGTAGTGGGGTCGCATAGTGTGGACTATGCCCTAATACCCTCTGTACAGAGGAGGATTTTGCCCAGCAGTGGGGCATATTGGCTTTTGTTGACTATAATTTCCTTTCAATTGTAAAACACATTTTTTTATTTTAGCAACAATCACCTGATTCTTTGTTGTTGGCGCTCAGTCCTAGCCGAAATTTGTTCCCGAAGAACAGAAGCAAATGTATCTATGAAAAAGATAATTGCAATTTATTAAAAAAACCATTGCTTTTTGAAAATAATGTATATATTAATTCAAGTTATAAGTGACTTTCCAGCAGATGGGAGGAAGAATCTTATATGATTAGACCTTTTAAGATAATTTAATTGTCTTTGTATTCCAAAAGATTGAATAGAATGAATAATGTAGTGTTAGTGCCCATATAGTAACCAGTATTGTATTTTGTGTGGAGGGTTGCACAGTAAACCCAAAAGACCACTGTACCTAGAAAGATCTATTGTAGTCCTCGCTTTAAAAGTATTGCCCTCTTAGTTTAGGATAACAATTATCAATATATCATTAACACCAAAATTTCAAAATATCTCAATATTCCAATTTGAATACTGTAATTTCTTATTACAATTTTACATTTACTGACCCAGGTTTCCACTGAGCAATGCATCAGCCAATCTGGGGTTGTTTTGTTTCAGCAGTGCGAGCTGCTCAGGATTGGCTAAAAACATCTCTCTTATGAGACGTGGATCTTCTTCTACATGTGGGTTTCTTGCAGCCATGGATGTACTCGCGCCTAGCGGAACTTGGATGCTACTGAAGTCAAGATTAGCTAATCCTGTGGGTAATCCTGTAAGCGGGTTTTGTAATTAAATTTTCAAAGAAAAAAATAAAAACATTCAATTTTTTGACAGCAACAAAATGTCAGTTATATTTTTAATTTTATATAGCTGATTTTACTGGCTCACATCGCATCGTATGTATATGACGTAGATGAAAGACTGAAAAGATCATGACATTGCATTTTTAGTGTCAAGTGAAAACAATATAAACAAAGGCACCTTGACTGGCATCATTAACGCTGAGATTGGATGCAGATGGCAACATGTGAAGCAGAACAATGACGTCTCCATCTCGTACGCCATGCTCTCTGAGAGTCATTTGATCCTCGAACAGCGGCTTCCCATTGAAATTCAGTATGAAATCCTTGGCCGGAAATCCAGACTCTATTTCACAAAATGCTTTGAAATTCTCCAATTCCAAATCTTCTGAGACATCGAGGACGAAAATTTCGTCGTTGAGCGTGGTAACCGTGACTTTCATTGTGAATTTTAGTGAAACAGTGAATTTAATAATAATACTACACAATATACTTCTTCGTGATACATATATTTTAAGAATGACTGGCGAAACACATTTTATTGATCGCGCACCCTTAAAAACAGTATTCTTCAGTGATAAGACGAGTGAAAATGGATTAACGATTTCGGCACAAATTACATTACAACTGTTCTTGATTCTTGTGGTACCTATTGTATGTAGCAGAATATAATCTCGTTCAATGGTGGCTTTTTGCTAACTTCACAATCTACTCGACTTAAGTACCAACTCATATTAGTTATTTCGTTTAATGTCAATGTTTAGTTCCATAGAATTAATGAAAAATAACAAAGAAATATGCAGTTTTAGCAAATATTTAAGAGAGGAGGAGAAATAAAATATTATTTTTTCAAATTGACCAATTTTATTAAGTAAAAGAAAATTGCGTAAAACGGACAATGTGGCCAACGTAGGCTATTTTACGCCATTACCACTCAGGGAATACGAGGGATTTTGGCTTTTACGTTAACCAAATTTAGGATGTAAGATGTAAAGAAGTGTCATTTTGCTTTTAATGACTATTGCAATTATCTTTAATCTTTATTATAAAGCCGGATTACACTGGTCAAGTATTTAGTGAAATAGATAAATGGTGTTTACAGTGGTGTAAACCATCGGACTGTAGCGAGTCAAATTGACTTGCAAGCCGCCTTGCAACTAGAGCCAAATAGAATCGGGTTTTATTTTGATGCATCCCTCGCGCGCCACATTAGCCCTCCGTGTGCACTTGACTCGTCACTTGCCGTATTGTCAACAGTCAAATTAGTACAGAGGCCGGAAACAGGTAGCAAAATTGCACGTATTTTTTGACATGGTCATCCATTTTTGTCAAAAAAGTGCTGGCCGTTTTTCCCGCCACGGTTCCCTGAACGACATCATCCGTAGGGCTCTTGTTTCCATCAATGTTCCATCTATGTTAGAGCCCTGTGGCATTTTTCGCAACGATGGTAAGAGACCCGACGACTTAACATTGATCCCTTGGGAGAGAGGCAAAGCCCTTGTTTGGGACGCCACTTGTGTAGACACGCTGCCTCTCATGTAAGGGGTACTTCGGTCAGGGCCGGGGCGACATCGGAGGCAGCTGAAGTAAGTGAATGGGGCAAATATGAGTCTTTATGTTTAGATTATGTATTTGTGCCATTTGCTGTTGAAAGTTTAGGTCCGTGGGGTCCCCGCACATCAAAATGTTTTAAAAGTTTATGTCCTAGGCTTAACATCGTGGCTGGTGACAAGAGAGCTAGTTCTTTTCTCGTTCAAAGGTTAAGCATAACTATTCAGCGAGGAAATGCAGCTAGCGTCCTTGGCACCATGCCGCGTGGATTAGGTTTATTAGATAATATGTAATTTTAGATAGATTTAATCTTGTAAATATTAGATCAATAAAGATTTTAACTTGGAAATCCCATTGGAGTTTCTGTTGTGTAAATAGCTGCTTGTCTGATGCCTACCAATGTAAATCGGGTTTTACAAATACTTCGGAAAATTCCAACTATTTTTGTCACTTTTGCTGTAAACTTATCCTGTGCATGTACAAAGTAAGTGATAAAGCTATGGGAAAATATGTCAAGCATTATTGTGACAAATGGGAAAAATTTACGTCTTCCGCATTTCAAGCTAAGCTTGCGCCTGTATTAGCATAGCAGCTACCATTGATGACATTGACGACGAAAATATTTTTGGTGCCGCTTTATTTCTGGCAGACGAAGTAGAATCAAAATAATTTTTTGCAATATTATGTAAAGTGGCGTTAGCCACCAAATAAGCTTTTATGGTTTTTATAGTAGGTGAACATAAATGTTAATTTAAATTAAACTTTATAATATATATTATAACGATATTTAGGTGTTAGGGTTACATTAGGTTACAGAAGCTCATATTCGTCTACATTAGGCTACCTAAGCCCGAAAATGGCAGCCTTAGGCCCTTATTGTTGGCAACTTGGCAACACTGTAAACGGAAACCATCCTATCTAAATCTATAAAACTCACTCAACATTAATCAAAGAAAACCTTTGTTGTTAATTTTCTGTATAGATAGATTGATACACAAGAAGTATGGTCTGATATTAAATATAAATTATTAAGTTTTTCTTTACACTTTTGTGAATTATCACTAACAAATATTCGAGTGATTCTAATATTTACAAATTGATTTCGGATTTAATCTGTTTATAATGTGAATGTTGTTAAATTGACAATGGTGAGTAATATGTCATATATTATTTTTAAACAATTATTGAAATTTACTATTTATGACAATCAAATTATTATTATTATATAAAGATTACAAATTTAACTAATTAAATGGCTAATCGAAATCGTCATATCGAATAGAAAAGTGTAAATTCTCATAGTTCAAGCCACAAAAGCCACCACTTATTTTGTTTCTGTTGAGATCAGTTTAATTTATTTAACCAATTTGTTACTTGATAATATGATTTGTGCGCAAATAAGCCTGCATAACTTAGATGATATGATGTGATTGCAGATGAAATTTCATATAACTTTATTAAACATATTTTATTAAATGTCTTCACTCTAATAAAGATACCGAATCACTAATCTATTATATTTCCATTGTGTATTATGCATAATCATAATGTGTACATAATATAATTTATTGAAAACTCTAAATCTATATATTTTTTTTGCTTGAAGGTGATTCTATTTATGTTGATGTCTTTCACAGTAATTTTTTTACTAATATTATATGGAGAAACTTGGTTCATGTGTAATTATAATGTTATGCTATTTCAGTCTATTATGTAGTGAACAAAATAGGAGCAAGTGCAAGATGTCATCAGTAGGACAGCTAGTGCCACAGGTGACAAGAGCTCCTCCCAACATGACAATCAAATACAATGGTCCTCACATTGAGAGTTCATTTTGCACATCAATGGATGACGGTTATGATCCTATCATCAGTATAATTTGTGCGATGTATATAGTTTTTGGGATTGTGTACACACTGTTTGGTAATTAGAATTCCATTTCTTAAATTTTTTTTTCAATACTACCTTACTTAGTTAAAGTTGAAAATTAATTATTTTCATTTGTAGGTATTCGAGGTAGTTACAGTTTTGTCAATATCTCTACTGAGCCATTACATTATATGTTGTAAAATAATGTTATCAAAAATTTGTGTTTCAGGTTATAGGTGTTTCAAAGCGAGTATGTTTTTAACAGGTTTTACCTTTGGCTCTGCCATTGTGTACCTTATTTGTTTGCAAGAATATTTAATGCCTCCATATGGAAATGTTGGTATGTTACTATTAGTATATATTTATATTATTTAATTTATGGATTTGACATAAATTAACAAAAACATATTTTTTTCAAGGTGTTGCATTGTGTGCTGGCTTGCTTTTTGGACTTATTACAATGTTGATTCAATATGTAGGCCTTTTTATGACTGGATTCCACACTGGACTTTTGTTAGCCATCGCTGGTTTAGCAATATATGACCATTTCTTAGATAGCAGACCTGTTTCGGTAAGTATATGTAATTTGCACAATAAATCTATAAATTACTGTGAGCTCACATTGAGTTGCTTGACTTTATTCATTTTCTTGTGTATAATTGTTATTAATTGTTTTTTTTTATTTATTTTGGTCCTATTTATGGCATTTTATTTTTAATATATTTTATTTTCCCATTAAAATAAATAAATTTAAATAAAAATCCTGACCATATTCTAAATTTTGACAATCATAATCATCCTTGGCAGATTTATAAACACGTACCAAAAAAAATTGTTTTTATAGACACAAAATTGGAGTTTCTGAACAGTTAATTAATATTTATTTAACATATAGTATGTAAATATTGATGCATATAACTCACATAATTATTTAGTATAAATAAAATTAAGAAAAAAAATAAATAAATTTAAGAAAAGTTTGTTTTTTCAACTTAAATTTTATCTAATTATAATACAAGAATATATGACTTTAAAACTATTTATAATAATAATGTTTATTAATATGTACATTAGAATTTAACAACCTTAATAGGTGACATGAAGATATCATGAAATTAATATAATGTCAGTCTATAACTGTAAATATTCTTCATTCATTTTAGTGCTAAACTTTATAAACAACTATTTTATATGATTAATTATATCATATCTAGTAGTTATTATATATATATATATATATATATATATATATATATATATATATATATATAAAATTCTTCTGTGTATGTCACTGAACTCGCTGGGCCAATTTTATTTAAATTTTTGTGTCTTCACTTCGATTTGAGAATGGTTTAGATTCACAGCTTTTTTTAATTTTTTAATTTATAAGTTGTTGTCTGATTTACTCAGTATACAGGATGCCTGTCCGGTTCACTCCTTTTATCATAAATATTCCATTTCTGGGAATGCTGTATTTTCAGAAGTTCACTACCCATTCTACTCCTATTTACCTATATTTAGAATGTCTCAAAAACTATACTGGAATTAATGCCTCCATATAACCTTATATCATATTATTCAACAACACATGCATCACAACAAATTAATTATTTTTATAACTAGATGATCCTTTACAATATTAAGATGACAAAGTGATAGAAATATAATAGAATATTATTGAATCAATAGAATGATTGAGTGTAAAACACTATGAGCTTAACAATATAATAGTGGCCTCAATTGCGTCAATGAATGTGCTGGATAAGCAATTTTCTCTACACTGTAAATGTTTGTTATGATTTGTTCCTATCATCTATCTAGGAATAAATTAAATTATAGCTATCATACAAAATATATATTAAATATTTTTTACAAAATATATTTTATGGATAAATACAATATGTATATATTTTGTTGTGTTATGTTACAAACTATAGTGTAGACAAAGTTGCTTATCCAATGCGTGCATTGATGCAATTTAGGCCACTATTATATTAAAATAAGTATATAGTTATTATAATAAGTAAATAAATATATTATATACAGCGTGTCTTTACAATCGCGACAATAAATGAACACACATATAGGGGATAAGTTTTTAAAATTGTATTAAACATTTACATTCTTTAAACATCAATATTTACAGAGTTATTAAATTTTCCAAAACAAAGAGTTTTAGAAAACCCTTACCTATAAAACTGTAACTTTAAGTTCATTTGTAAAGGTCACAAAGCATTTGAAAGGGTTGAATGAATTTTAAAGAGACAAAACATACTGTTAGAAGGAGAGGCTTGTAATACGACGCTGTGGCGCGAGTTGTATACGATGTTACAAATTTTGTTTCTTTTTTACTTAAGTAGTTTGTTTGAAAAATATTTTTTTTTAATTATGGATTTTGTTTAACGTTAATATTTTTTTATGATTATTGGCAAGTAGCGTTAGACGTGTGTTTATTTATTGTAGCGATGGTAACGACACACTGTATAATTATTATATTTATTTACTTATTGATTTGAAAAATATTGTTATTGTGTTTCTGTTAATTTCTTTGGTTTTGTGCTATAGCGAATTATTTAAGAGACAAAAAGATTTAAATATTTATTAAAAGATTTAAAATTTAGATAAAGTCTAATGGATATTTTTTGTTACCATACTGACCATGCTGTGCCGCAAAATAATGCTTAACTTAGCATCAATTGTAGGATTCCCTGAATTGTTCCAATTGTTGTTGTATTTTGTGAGTCTTTATCATAAAATCAAAAGAAGCTAAAACGAATTTAAACAAGCTATGAACAACTTAATTTTTTTCATTCTACAGAATTTTAGAATATTCAACCAAGCATCTTCGTAACAAGTTTATTGTTACTTGATTTATTCTTTCTTATCAAGGTGTAAGATGAGCTTGTAAAATCTGAAGACATTGTCATTGATTCACATTTTATGAGACGATTTAATTATTATTATTTTAAGTATGACTTTTGTGATATGGGAATCATTCCACGCGTTTAATTGCGTTTACTATATTTAAACAGTGAAAGCGCTCGATAATCAGTGTTGCAAAGCGAATTACGTATGAAATCTAACGGCGCTGACTCGTGTTAAGCGTGATGTACAGCGGGCGCAGAAGTATGATAGTTGTTTCGCTCTCGTTGCCGTAAATATGAAATCTGTGCAACGATTTGACCCTGCGACCGTGGAGCCTAAGACTGACGCGTTAGCCACGTGGTCATCACGGCCTTAGCTATGCTATTAATACGCGTTTATTATAATTATTACGCTTACCCTGCCTCTGAATTACATAAATTATACTTGTTCAAAACCGTATTGAAGCCCATTTTCGGAAATATTATTCAGGATAATACTGAACTTTCTGAATCCAATGTTATTCTAATAATATAGATAACAAAAAATTGTTCTGCTTCACATTACATACATGACATATAAGAGAATGTGACAGATGATATAGAACGTATTATACGGAGAGAAATAGCAGTCTATAGAATTGCAATCTAATTACACCTTTTTCTGTAATTTGAGTGCCTCAGTTTCAGTGCGCTACTGTCATATCTACCTATATAATATCATTGGATGAACGTTAGGATAACAGTTTTTTTATGAGAAAAGTTGCCGGGCGAGCAGACGGTTCACCTGATGTTAAGTGAATACCGCCGCCCATGGACATCTGTTACAACCGACTGCAAATGCGTTGATAACCTTTTGAAAATTGGGCTACGGCCACCTCACTCACCAGACGAAACGCAAAAGTATTATACTTCCACTTTACACCGGTCTTCTGTGAGGTCGTGGCACTTACCCGGACGAGGCTGCCCATTCGTGCAACAGCCGAAACTGCTGCGTAGCTCTACCAGTTGTGGAAATGTCCTTTAAATTTTTATTTTTCAAAAGTTATTGTGATTGATATAGGGTATTTATCTTTCAATGTAATCTCTAAATCGGATATGCCTGCTGTTCGCAAGTAATGCCAGTATAGTATAATCGTTTAATGCAAACTTTGTTTATTGACTCGTTCATTTGGGCCGGTAGCGCTTTAAATAGAGTATGAGATTTGTCTGGAGGGGAGAATGTAATTGCGACCTACTTGTCTATCTTTTATTGATACTGCACGGGCCAGTCTTCTCATAAATCGTATGTTATGATGCTTATAAAGATCCGTGGTATTGATAACACCCGTTGGCTCCAATTAGGTAATAAGGTTGATGCCTTATCTGTTCAATTCTACATTTATTGTTTTTTAACGAATGCATAATGTTTTGAAGCCAGCGCGAATGGTATGGTAACGGTATCTTATCCTTTAAACTAGCAATTCCGATTATATATATATTCGGAATCTCTGAAACGGCTCCAGCGATTTGTTATAATAGCTCGGTCGGCCCCTAAACAGACGGCCGCGGTTCGTATCACGATCATTTACACACATTTTTTATTTAGTCTGAATACATTTAGTAATATTAAATGATATTGCACGGGTGTTAGCAAAACATAATCGATATAACTCGTATAAAAGGTTCTCTTGCGAATTTCATACATGTCTGTGCGTGTATCAGGCCAGAGTTATGGATTCGTCAGGATTTCCCAAATTTTTAGTCTGATTTGCGAATTTATTCTAATATTCCCATTCTCGGTTCTTCGTGTTTTTGGCGTCGCAATTTGCCATTATTTCGTCGAACATCATCCAACAACATTTAATGTTTACGATTACTAAAACGTACTTACTAAAACGATGATAATAATAAATAGAAACGCTGTTTGATGCTCAACTTATCTAGAACTTGTGTAAAACGAACAACGCTGATTACGAGCGAGTTACAGATATTTCGAATGATCAATTCTAATGTTGTTTCAGTACTGGATATGCGTGGTGGCGTTACTTGGGTCTGGAATATTCTTTGCTGTCATCAACTTGTATTGGAAGAAAGGTGAATATGTCATTAAATGAGAAAGTTCGCTGCGGGACCAGTGTCCATTGTCATGTGATATACATATATCTATTTATTTGTAATGATCCGTAGCCTAAATGGCTTCAAAGAGAAGCTCAATTTTTTATTGTATAAGGGATAATAACTAATACTAGAATCAATCACGTGACATCTATCACGCGTATCAAGCTATATTTTACCAAGAACCATAGAATGGAAGTTCGACGGAAAACGAATGGACATTTATTAAGTGTGGTAAAGAGCTACCTAGCAATAATAGTAAGCTCATGTAGCGCGAGGGTTAGTCTTGTCCGGGAAAGAACCGCGGTCGCGCGATCTTCGAATGTGCCTTTTGAATTTTGATGACTCCGTGGCGCAGTTGCCAAGGTATTGGCTTCGGCGTCGGTGGTCGTGGGTTCGATTCCCACACGGGACAGCTATTTGTGTGACCCACAGATAGTTGTTTCGCATCTGGGTGTTTGTCCGCGTGAAATTTATTTGTAAATCGTCCTTACAACACAGGATATTGTTATCCTGTGACAGAAATTCGCGGAAATTCAAACGTGTGGTACGTTTGAATTTTGTCAGTGAGTCATTGGTATTGTAGTCAGGTGTCTATGGATGGTAATTACTTCACATCCAGAATATAAGGAGGGGTGGTGCTCATAAAAAATTGTGTTGTGTCTAGCATGTTTAGAACTGCCTATTCACGCTTTACTAAATCATCTGTTCACAGTGCTAACTATATTTGGCACGAGCGTGTACGGCGGCGCTGTGATTGCGACTACTCTTGACTACTTCTTCGAGAGATTGATGATGTTGAAATGGGTAGGTGTTGTTTATGGTCATGTGACAATTTATGTATATTTTAAATCTGTACCAATAAAATTATCACCAATTTAATACCACGTGGTGTACCACGGAGCGATATTGAAGAGTTCGAGACAAATATTTTCATTGTTTGCATCTTTTTAATTTTCGGAGATTTAAGATCTTTATAATACACAAATTGGAGATAAAGAATCAGATTAGTATTTTTTATATTTGAGATAAGTAATATTGTTAATTGAATGAATATTCAAGAAATTATTGGATACTACACTTCAAATTCAAAAGGTATGAAAAATTATCATTTTCTTAAATTCTATTAACAATTATTACTATCTTCCGATCGCCTTGTGTATATGATAGGTCTTACGTTAAGTACAAAACAACCAACTACTACGAGATAGGTGTGGATAATCATATGTGTTGAATTTGTAGCAAAAGGAATGTTGGGTTATATTTACAAACTGACTGTACATGAGCAATAAATGAATGGTATAAGATCAGAAAAATCCTCATTTTGAATGGAAATTTATTAATCATGGAAGTATTTACAGTTTATATTCTATTACTTTTAATTCCGCACTTACATATCAGAATTTCTTGAATATCCGCACCACACCTAAATGAAAACAAGTATTGTCCTAAAATAATAATTAAATCTATTTCTTTAAACATGACATAACAAAAAGAAAACAATAGATGAAATAATAAATAAGACATCGCTCTATCCATTTCCGCATGTATAATTTTAACATAATGGGATATATTGTCTATTTATCAAGTTGGTGACAATAAGTCTCATAATGGTATGATAACGTTTGGCGCTGGTAGAAGATATCCTCGGCTTTACTGAAGACAGAAGCCTTACAGTAGTGGTCTAGGTAGGCGTACTATAGGACAGTAGGTGTAGAAAAAAGTTTATTTAGTCGAGGAGGCCTAAAAGTTTCGTTTCGTCGAAAGTGTTTGCCAATACAACTGCATACTACTGAATGTCCAAGGGGGTAGTTGCCTACCACCCGGGGAATGCCCGGCTCATTTTCCACGTACTCTTAAAACGAGCCATACTCGCGCACGAACGGTTCCGTACGATTATGTATAATGTTATAGTGGCAACAGAAATACATCATCTGTGAAAATTTCAACTGTCCATCACGGTTGATGAGATACAGACGGACAGACAGACAGCGCAGTCTTTTTTTATTATTATAGACACACCAACAGTGTACATATTTACAAAAAAGGAAAAAAGAAATAAAACATTGGACCTAATACCTACATTGTGGACCTATAACAGTCCTAGTAATAGGGTCCTGTTTTAGCTTTTGGGTACGGAAGCCTAAAAAACATATTCCAGCTCTGGGAGCGCGCCAAGCTGGAGCCAGCAGTGCCCCCACCGTGCCGCCTATCCTGGCTCACCCTCGCCGCCTGGCCCGCGGCGGCCATAGTCGGGCTGACTGCGCAATTCGCACTCTCTGCGACCGGCATCTACCACGAACAGAGTGAGTGCACCGGACTTTAAGGTGCGGTCACACACGGCGACAACTCGTTGCGATTAGGCACTCGCAGCGAGAACTCGCTGTGTGTGACTCGACAGACTGTTTGCTATCAGCGAGCCGATTCATCCGCCGCGATTTGTGTGTGAGCACGTTCAATGTTACTCTGCCCAGTCGCCGCCACTCGCGTTCGCTGCTTGTAGCCATCACGCTCAAATCGCCGCTCCAGACTATATGCTCACATAGGCGACATATTTGTATTTGGGGCTCCAAAAGACTGTCGAAAATCTACACGAGAACTTCGACAGCGAATTATTAGCTGCGAAAAATACTCGCAACGAGTAATCGATGAGTATGATCGAGGCTTAAAGCAATTTACTCATTACGGTGGTAGGGCCACGCAGCAGCCTCGGCTGTTGCACGAATGGGCAGGCCCGTCCGGGTAAGTACCACGACATCACAGAAGACCAGCGTAAAGTGGAAGTATGACAAATACTTTCGCGTTTCGTCTGGTGCCCCATTTTCAAAAGGTTGTAGTAACCCTCGGTTGTAGCAGATGTCCATGGGCGGCGGTATTCACTTAACATCAGGTGACCTGTCTGCTCGTTTGGTAACTTTTCGCATAAAAAAATGCGATAAGTTCGGCAAAAAAGCAATGTAGATAAAATATGTTGATTTTCTTCAGTTTGGCAATCAGCCGTTTAGCTTTTTCTTTTTTTATGTGAGAAAATGGCAAGCGAGCTGGCGGTTCACCTGATGTGTAGTGATAGCCGCCGTCCATGGGCATTTGTAACACCCGTATGTTTGCAGATGTGTTGTTACTTTTTCATAAAATTGTCCCCGGTTACCTCGCTCACCGGACGAAGCGCAGAAGTGTAACACTTCCACTTTACGACGGCATTCGTGCCACAGCCAAAACTGTTGCGCCAACCCAACTACGCTTCAGCTTAGTGGCTAAAGCGTCTATGGGCGCTAATTTGGAACACGTGGGTTCGATTCCTTCAGCGGTGAGAAACTTCATCAAATTTTTCTACAAATTTTAATATTTGTTCCGTTGCATCACCTCCGTGAATGAGGTAACAGGGGCCCAGGTTTTTCAACAACGCATCTACAACCACGCGGTGTTTAGTAATATGTTGGCAGTGTTACGTAGTAGAACATGTCCCCTAATAAAAAGCTTATGTAACGTAACGTTACCTGCTCGGGTATCGGGTAATATTAAACTAAACAGGAAACATTAACAATATAAAATTTCCCAAAAAAAAAGAACTGTATAGTTGTATGAAGATATCGTTGAAATTTCTACCTTCGGGAGTATGGTAGATTCATAACGGGTCTGTCGTATTTAGGTATAAGCGCACAGAAGCGTCGGCTGAAAGCGCAACAGGCGCGGCCGGTGACGCGCGAGCAGCGAGCCGAGATGAAGCAGCGCAAGTACAGATACCTGTACCAAGTGCGCACCGCCCACGGTGACGTCATCTCGCAGGTAATTCCCAACAACCCGCCAAGGACGCTGACAACCAATTCACCAAAACGTAAAATCATGAGCTATAATGCCACAAGCCTTTTTCCGAGCCATGGTTGTCCGGCTACAAGGACCAACTTGCGGCTGTGCCATTGAATTGTGACTGTTCATATACATTGCTCTTAATTAAAGCTTTTATGTCGTCTAATATCCAATGGTTATGGTCGGTTTTCGTGTCTGTTTTAAGCCGGACATGGAGTTTATGTCATGTGGGGTGAACAAAACGTAATGATAATGATTGTAAACCAAGGTGATCACACAAAAAATTCCATCCTTTTTTGAAACCCTTACAAAAAAACGTATTTTTTCTTGACTCTCCCAAAACACCTGAACAGCCATCATCAGCCATAATATCTGCAGCACTGTGAACTGGTGTATTGTCTTATTGATTTGATTACACAGTTCCCCGGCTCGCAATTAATCGTGACTCTTTTTCTAAATAGGCTTTCAAATTGTTATGAGGTATTTATATGTCGTTTTTTTATTTTAAAAGGTCCGTACTCTTTTTTGATTAACATGTTTTTTTTTAATTTTCTTTTTGGGCTGTTACCGCCGCATAAATCAACCGGGCTGGTTATAATATGTGGTTAGGCTTATCTCAATCGGTGTCTTACGAGGGTGTGTGATATATTATTTGAGCTCATTCGCTGCCTGTGTTTTTTTGAAACGTTTTTTTCGGCGGTAGGGCCGTGCTGCTGCATGTAAGTAAGTTCCAAGTAAGTAGCAGGTAAGTTCCACGACCTCACAGAAGACCGGCGTAAAGTGGAAGTATAATACCTTCGCGTTTCGTCTGGTGAGTGTGGTGGCCGGAGCCCAATTTTCAAAAGGTTGTCCACGTATCTGCAACCCTCGGGTGTAGCACATAGTCTATATGGGTGGCGGTATTAACTAAACATCAGGTGAACCGTCTGCTCGCTTGGCAACTTATCACATAAAAAAAAATGTAAAAAAGTAAAGTATCAGCCTATATATGTTCCATTGCTGGGCATAGAGGCCAAAGGCTTTTTACATAGGGTATCAGGGCACAGTCCATCATGCGGTACCATTGCGGATGCCAATCCGCAATTTTAAATCCGAAATATTTTTTTTGTTATTATTTCTAAAATATGCAGGCTTCCTCACGATGTTCTCCTTCACTGATAAGCACGTGATAAGTCAGCACTTTTTTTTCTCTTTATTATATTTAGGGACTCTTCCACAAATATGCATATGACAGTCCCATTGAACCCTATAACTAAGGTTAATCATTGTCAAGAAAACGCAATTGTACAAATTTATATATACAGCGTGTCGTTACAACCGCGACAATAAAAGAACACACATATAGACGATAACTTTTAAAAATTGTATTAAACATTTACATTCTTTAAACATCAACATTTGCCGAGTTATTAAATTATCCAAAACAAACAATTTTAGAACAACCTTATGAATAAAACGGTAACGTAAAGTTCATTTGTAAAGGTCACAAAGCATATGATTGGGTTGAACGAATTTGAAAGAGATAAAACATACTGTTAGAAGGAGAGATTTGTAGTGCGATGCTGCGGCAACGAATGAAAAAGTGAAAAAGTGAAGTCTGGATGTATGAATCAGTCAGTTGTAGTTGTATAGGTGTTACAAATTTTGTTTCTTTTTTATTTAATTAGTTTGTTTGAAAAATATATTTTTTTAATTATGTATTTTTTAATGTTTTATGTTTTTTATGATTATTGGCAAGTAAAGTTAGACGTGTATTAATTTATAGTCGCGGTGGTAACGACACGCGGTATAAAAAGCTAAGTCAGCACTTAAAATTAACAATTTCATTGGTGCCGGCACCGGGGATCGAACTCACGTTGCTCGAGTACACTTAATTCAAGGCTACCACCCGGCCACTGAGCTATCACGGCCGTTACGAAAATTGCCAACCAGACATCTTAACGTCAGTGTCTGTCCGTCGGTGTAAACTAATGGGAGTGCCGTCCGGTTGCAGTCGTACGTGCAGGCGTTGCAGAAGAAGGCGCAGTGCGCCAACTGGACCGGCGCCGGCAGTGGCAGCGGCGGCGGCGAGTGCAGCACCCTGCAGAGCGACTCCACCCACCTGACCGTTCTCGCCGGCTCCGAGCACGCCCCGCCCACCGACTCCGACGACGAGCTGAACCAGATACGGGCGGTGCAATAGCGCCACGAAAGTAAGCCAACCGTGGTACTGTGGCAGGGCCGCGCAATGGTGTTCGCTGTTGCACCAACGGGCAGGTCCGACCGGGTAAGTACCACAGACCTCGGTCACGCGGCAGCGTGTTTAGCCATAGTTACGCATTGTTTTGTTAGTAAGAATTCTTGTGTTTAGTGTTAACTAAAGTTTTGGGTAATATAGTGAATATCCAGAGAATTTTTCGGTTATCGTCTTGAATATCCCTTAATGTTCTCCTTTCATGGTAAATAACTTTTCTTTAGATAGTATTATGGTGATTTGGAATGATACTTTTAACTGTGGTAGTTCACGCAATATTGTTTCCGATTCCCTGATACTCTAACGTTAGCCTGGTACTTGACCTAGTGGGCTGGCCAAATTCCACAAGCTGGATGTTACTACTATGCTACTGTTCGCCTGGTATTTGAGCTATGATCGCCTAGTACCTCGGTTATGTTATTCTAGGACTGAGGCTTATTTTCGCCTGGTACTTGAGCTATGATCGCCTAATACTTTGGCTATAGCCTGGGACTGTGGCTGTTGTTAGCACTCAAATAACAAATAGGAAATCTCTATGCTCTATAAAATAGATAATTAACACATTCTTAACAATCTGTTGAGCATGTGTTAGTGATCTATTACATAATGTAAATCATCTGAGGTCAGACATGATTTCAATAAATAAATTATCTTTGCAACTAGATGAAATGGTTAATGAGTTTATTATAATTTAGATTTTTTTGTAACTTAACTATAACTTATTGTTGCAGGATATTAAGGTTCTGGGCTGATGAAGCGAGGATAAACGTGAAAGGATCGCAAATAATATTCATTTCATGTATCCAGTATTACCCAAAGGAGAGATCCACCTATAATATATCAGTAGGTGCATAAACAATCAGCGATATATTTGTATTCAATGTGAATTTATTATTGTAAAATGTTTGAGGTACTGTGTTACTGTATTCAGGTTCGATTCGAGGCGAATAGGATTATCGTAGTTTCTGAAATTTATCGCCAAATAATACACGTAGATGTTTAAGTGTATTTAATGCATTCTATGCATCATTGGAGTATTATTGCGATTCAGAAAAATAAAAATCGTGTAAGTTGTTGTGTCCCATAAGATCACGAAAACATTTTGTAACGTCATGCCAGCCACCTGTAATGTTTTTGAACTCAACATTGAGTTCAAAAACATTACAGCTTTGGTGTGAAGATAAATTATTGAAAAAAAAAAAAGAACTTTCTAGAATATTTAAAATGAAATTTTATTTAATAATTGCTACTAAAGTTTTTCGACTCATATTCTGCATGTGGCGTTGTTGTCAATGTTATTAAGCTTGAACTACTTTAAAACGACAGTCGTATTATAAATATTATTTAATATTCACTGCCATTTATAATAGCTTTTAATGGAACGTTTGGGACGAACAGTCTGATTCCAGTATTGAATTGTTGTTAACTACTCTGTAGTACTATGTACTACTCTGTACACATATACAAAACACATTTAATCATGTTCCGTGGAATCTTTGGATAGAAAGCAAATCAATAATATAGGAATGTTTAACGTTTTCGTCTGGATACGGCAGACATACCCCGGTTGTATCTATTAGCGTTTGATTCTTAAACTTTTTACTTGGATTTTAAAACAATTGACCATTTATTGTGTGAAACAATACTGGTTACATTTTTAAAAAGAACTAGACATGGAGGCACACTTTGTTATAAAAGTTTAAAAAACATAACTAAAGAACATTTCTGATCTTATGACACGTGTTGACGAGTTTTCAATATTTATTGAATTAATGTTATTTATGCAATTCCGTAATGAATAAACTACCAAATATTTCACCTAGCATGTAACCGAGAGTTTAGTTTGTAGACTTGCGAATGTATTTCGTACCATTGAGGTTGCTATTATTAGGATTGGATTTTGGGATTTTAGCTGAAGGCAAGCTTATGTGATGAACGGGTAAGCTCTTTTAAAGGGCATAGTTTAGAATATTTCGATTAGGACCGATCCCTATCGGTGGAAAACAACGCGTTTGTTATTAAATACAATTCTATTTCAGTTAATTAACATTATGTTTTAATAGAGTTTTTTATTTACGACGCCGTCTACGCGCTTATTGTGTTTTTGTCGGTTTTTATATTTGGAATTTTACCTATTATTACTAAATAAAGTGATTCTACTTCGGCTGCTCTGATTTCGAAGTGTGACAATATTTTAATGTTACTGTTAAAACGGCTGCAGCCAACGACAGCACAACAAATACGCACAATGACAGATAATAATAGCATGAAATGCGATATAAAATATAAAACCCCGCCTGATCGACAAGGATATGTGACGTACATTCTATTCACCGTGTGATATGTTTTTTATTTGTATTTTTGGCCAAAGTTTATTTTAGTTGTTACATTCGCTAAGAGCAGAGCACAATGTTTCTTTATCTATAATAGGGTATACGCTTTAGTTATTGTTTAAAACACCGATGCCGAGACAAGAGACGATAAGCGGATGACTGGTCTCGTTTCCCCCGCCCGGATCTATTTCAAACAAATATCGCAGCATCTACAGGTATTGCATTGTTAGTCATGGACGTCGAAAGTGAAGAATGATATCAATATATCGATCTATCGATATTTATAGAAATATCAATATCGACCTATATATATATCGGTCAAACTTTCAGAGTATTAAAAAAAATAACAAATGTAGAAGCCGTAGTTGTCAAAGTATTTAATACGACTTCCGGGAAAATACTCCGTGCCGGATTCGGATTTGAAAAAAGATATCCTTTTTAATACGATTTTTGATATTGAATATTTTGCATTGATATATCGGATCAAAATTTATCGGCTAAAATATCGATGTATCGATACTATTTCGACATCCCTATTGTTTATATTTCTCCGGACGACCATTCTTTTAGAAATTGTACCCACAATGATCAATACAAGCTAATGTTGGGAGTAGCGTTATTTATTCCTTACTCACACGTCGACGCGAATTGTTTCAGTCTGAAGGCATCTGGTGATTAATGTTAAACGTTGATGAACAAACTATACGTGGTCACCGCAGTTTCTCAACTGAAGTGCGGTTGATGCTGCCAGTAAACTGGTAAATTGGTAGGAATATATGACTTGATATATGGACCGATAAAAGTAGAGATTTACCGGTGGAGATTGTGTATATAATATATATTGTACTCGTAAGATAGATGTAGTTAGTATTTAGGAGGCTGATATTGGTATCACTTAGTAATAACTTCTACTCTGTGACATCTTTAAATACTGTCCACTTGATCGCTCAACGTCTAGTCTTGTATTGTATTCCGAATTATAATCATTTCGTAGTATTTTATTTTCAATTTATTGATCATTGAAATAGTTGTGAAATAAACATATTATTTACCTGTGTTTATTTAGCAATGTTTTGTATTTTTGGCATGTTTTCTTGGTCATGTTTTAAGTTTCCTAATTCATTGTAGCATGCTACTTCGTATCGTTATTATTTTGTGATCTTTTTTACATTGTTTTATTAGCTGCATTTAGTTAGTTTAAATGGTATTTTTGATAATACATGGTTACTATTCAAGCATTCTTGAAGTGATTCAAACAATTATACGTTATTTATACTTTCCTATTAGTATAGTCACATGTTATTCGAAGAATTTTTGTTATTTTCTTATACATTAAAATGTAATTATAAGTATCTGTATTCCAGTCATTTTGTTTTATGATTGATGACTCCTATATGTTTGTTTTATTTCAATACCTTATCCTTTAGATTTCATGTTTCATTTAATGTCCTGCATTTTTATGGATCCTTTCATGTACTCATATCTTTTGAATCGTTCATATAAATATTTTTAATTTATAATAATACTGCGTAACATTGCGATTGTGGTTATTTTTGCAACTGTTTCACTGCTTGCTTAATCGAACGTTTGTATGTATCAAGTAGATGATGCACCACAAATTTGTAAATTAAATAAGATAAGCAATATCAAAACATGAACTTGTTCGTTTACCGAAATATATAGTAACTCGTAATGGCTCACCTGTCTTTATTAATAATAAAATTGTGACTTATACTCACTTATGCGTACGTAGTTGTCAATTATTATTACAATGATATTCATACATTACAAGTTCCACTGAAATGGAAATAAGATTGAATTGCCGAATTGAGTTACTGCATCTTATCATATTTTTAATAATAATATATATTTATATATATGTATATACAAGATTCATCTTGTAATACATATATAGACAAACCTCTGAAAACTACGCACCCAATAAACATTCCACGAGAACCGTCTTCAATCATATTTAAAAATAAAACCTTTATAATAATACTCGAGAACGCAGCAGAATTCAAATAAGCCACGATATTGTAATAACTACCGTATAAACATTGTCATGTCGGTAAATAGAAGAATGGGTAATATGTTTATCAGTATTCAAAAAAAAAATTTCAGACAATAAAAAACATAATTGTAAGCCTTTGTTTTTGGAAACGTTCGTGTACGTTTTGACTCACGAAGATTCTCTCTACCGCCAATTAACTTTCACGTTGGAATTATAACATGGCACGATTTTTAATTGCCAAATTAATTTAGAAAACGCATACAATACTCTAAACTGAACACTGCCAGAACCAGTTAATTAATTAAAGGCTACATTTTTCGGCGGTCATTTATAAACATTTTCATCTCGCAGTAACGCCGTGAAATTAGTATTACGTAATAGCTGTTTCCTTGGAGAACGCTGTTGGAAATTATTAATTATGTATTTATTGTCACTTTGTAGACGTAATGTAATTTGAATTTATTTATTTATTATTTGTGATGTCAGTAACCAGTTAAACGAAAATAAATATGTTAAGTGACTTTAATTTTCTTTATCTCTTTTAGTAAAGATTGAACATTAAACAGTTATTTTTATTAACGGGCACTACTAGATGATGCACTTTTCAAAGTTTATTTAAGACATGTAGGTATATTGATTTATTTTTATTCTTAATATCATTACTTTGCGATCGTTCCTTAATATTAACGATCGTATTCCCTTTTACTACACATTGTAAAATGTGTGCTAACCAATTTATTTGATATGCTTGCTCGAAAGCTTCCGACATTAAAGTGAAGTTGTTAATTAAGTGTTATTTCTATATTACTTATTAATTTCAAAATCGACAAACCTACCTGTAAGTGTATATCATCTAAGTTGGACAAGAATGTGAAAATGGACATTAAAAAATTATGAGTAGGTAATGCATATTTTTGTATAAAGGAATAATACTAGCGGGTTAAAAGATTTATATTTTCAAGTAATTTTGGCAATAATGGTTGGATTTGAAACATTAGCTATTCAGTAGTGTGTAAAGAGCTTATGTGATCTATTTTCGTGTTAAATACGGCCCTTCTACATGTTTGTGAGACTATCTTTTAATAGTGATAAATTTGATAATTTTTGTGCCATCACATACATATTTAACAATTTATGCAGACTGCTATACCGCTTACCTTACGCACTATGTTATAATTGAGAACCTTATGTATTTGCATGCATTCGTTATTCCAAGCAAATATATTTATACTAACACATACTCCTATACAATATTAAGTGCATTAATCTATAGGTTACACCGACGGAACGAGAAAAGATTACGTAGTTTTGGCATTTGAGAAACGTAACGGAAAATTGATTCGGTTATAATTTAAAATTCAGCTATAAATTAATCTAGTTTGAGCTAAATTTGTAACAGCAACGTGTCCGGTCCAAATGCACATACGTGAGATTTTATCGTTTCCGTGTATTAAAATTAAATATAAATAAATATTTAATTATAATGAATAGGTAAAGTAGATGTTTAAAAATCATGGAATGGAATTGTCAGTGACCAGGTGTAAATATTTTGTATTGCCAACGCCGTATTTTGAAAAAAAAATATATGTTGATAATTTTAATAATTTCTGTGGGATTTGTAGTTAAGAGAAAAGCAGATCTACTTTTGGATTGTATTAGAGACTGATAAGTATTTTTCTGAAACAAAATCGTCCATTGCAGTTTGACTTTCTTAATTCGGTGTTGGTTTTTCTGTTTTGTGAAAAGATGGCGGATCTGCGAGTTTTATTTTTCACGTTTTTTCATTCCATAAAATTTGTCATAGAGACATCAGAAATTGGTAAAAGCTTAGGTAATTTCCAGTAGAAGTAAATTCTCGCAGCTCTGTCGAATTATTTCGTTCAACTTTGTAATGGTCTTATCATTGGAAAGGAGAGAAGAGACGCACAACTTGTTTGTATAATATCAGTGAACATAATAGAAGAAAAAAGTGACAAGCGACTAATATATAGACCACTTATATGAGGCACAGGATCTGCTGTGTTATTTATTCAATTGTGCTCTCTTCTACTCACTGAAGGAACTAAAGGATAATTAATATTAAATATAAACTTGATATAGTACCTACTACTACATACTTTGGGACTGTTGTCCTTTCTTGCCAATGTAATTTACGAACTTTATTTTAATAAATACATTTTGTTGTCATCCCGCTTACTGTTTTTTTTTTTATGGAAACAAAATTATCTTAATCATAAATAAAATAAAGCATTTAATTAAATACTTATTACATTTATTTATTACTTACAATACTTTGGTTTAATCTTTCAGTATAGGAAATAATTTATAATTAACAACCCTTAATCAGATTATGAATACACGTCTCGTACATTTACAAATTTCCGTTTTTGAACTTGCTTAAAATTTTAATACTTACTAAAATATGTGAATATAATAATATTTTTCATTTACTACGGAAACCTTTTTGGAGTCAACGCTTATTGCAAATACATATTATTTTACAATAATTGATTTTACCAAGTATAATTGAATTTATTGACATTGATTTTGTTGAATAAATGACGCAGCTTGATTCGGGCAGGGAGAGGCAGGCTCAAATGACCTTTTTTTTGCAAAACAAATCAAGCAACGTTGAATATAGAATATGTTAGGCATAATATATTAATCACATATAGTAAATGTAACATTTGTTTGGGGCGAATTTCGCAAAAAGGACCAGTAAAAACAATAATTGTGAAATATTTTTGGTCGGTAAATACTCAGAAATGAAATTATGTCCTAGGCAGTTCGTGTAGTAAAATCTCGAATACAACTATACCACAAAACAGTGCATTTGAATTAAGTAATATTTATAGAGGTAAAAGCGATGTTCATCTACAGTGTTTTTAATATCTTCTTAATGTTAAGCATTCTTCTCGGATGAACTTAAATTAATTAGATTTTGTTGTTACCTTACATAACAAGAAATGCTGTTAATTAGCATATATGACATTTTTTATATTTTATTAGGAGACTACATTAGACCAATCTCTACAATATGCCTTTTACCTATTGAAATCGAAAAAGGCCCTAGAGATGACGTATCGTGTGAACTATCCCAATAGTGTGCCGTGAAGATATCATATGCACGTTGTAATTTCTTCGACGTACGATGAAGGGAAAATGCCATAGTTCCCATTGAGACCCCCCGTCCACCACACGTCGTCTTGTTTCTCGTAAATGTTAATAACGTCACCTGTTAAAATAGTAACGAAGAGTAGGCAAGACTAGATCGATTAAAGATATTATAACAATATACGCAAGCAACAATTTTGTAGCAAATTTAAACACTACTTTTTTGTGTAAATTTTGCCACGCGAGCAGGCGGTACACCTGAAATTATTTATATAATTTTAATAAAACTATGAGACAATATGGTTGAAACGATTTTGATAACAAATAACAGACATACTATCTACAACGAATATCTGAATTTCGTGATTTCGTAAGCAAAAACGCAAAAAGTTCGCAATGCAATTTGTGTCAGAAGAGCAGTTATCTTAATTTTAAAACGTAACAAAGTTTTGTAATCGACGAAACGGTGCGAAGATTGACTCACAGTTCTCTTCCTGACATGCAATATCATGCAAAACGCTTTAAGACGAAACAATGGATTTATTTTAAAGTACAATTATAAAATTTAACTACTGCTGCACTATTACATATGTATGAAATACTAACTTTATACGTAACCATTAAACCTTGTCGACAACCATTACATAGGTATTTATTATTAAAAGTGAAATCTGTTAGGAATATCCGTTCGGGGAATGTTAAAAGATTAGCCATAGGATTAACAACAGAATTTTTTTTTTATTAACAACAGAGACCACCCCTAGTTTGCCGAAAAGTACTGTTTCATAGCCCAAAACAAAAAAACATTTTATTATAACGGTGTCTATACGTCTATGTACAATTTATATGCTATCGCACGCCTGTTTACCTGGTGTTAGTGTAAGTTCATCGTCCAACCTAGCTTCGTATGAGTACAATGCGCGACATTTTCCAATATATTTTTGGGTTCCATCCACATTACTGTCACTCTTTCCCAGATCAGTCAAGTCGGTAGAGCTATCGCTTTGTGATGAAAATTCATCTGTAATATAATAAATATCATAGCTTATATCAGTTAGTGTAAATGCAACTGAAATGTTTTCCCTAAATATGAATTTGAAAAATTATTTGATAATTGAATAATTTTTTGAATAATTTTTTGAAAAATTATGAAAAAAGGAAACGTAGGTCGTAACATAAATCTCTTCTCCTTTGCTTAATTCAAAGATAAAATTTAATACGGATTTGCAGTAAAATTCATAAAAAATGATTAGACATTAAAGAGTTCATGTAATAATTTTATTATACTATCAGTTGCCACTGATCATTAGCGTGATCAAACTAATCAAAACCAATAAAAAAAGACCATTTGCGAAATTTAAATGCTCTGTGTAATCACTTTCAATTAAATCAAATTATTAAATAAATGTAATTAATTCGTGCCGTTAATTAATTTTGAAAGATTTACGCCCTGAAGATTTACCGACTTGCGGGATAATGAATGAAATATTTAAAGACTACGGCCACATTTTATTAATTGAAAAGGCAAACAAAACTCACTCGTCACTACATAGTATAAAATAAAGTCGTCCCACTGCCTGTCTGTCCCTATGTATGCCTAGATCTTTAAAACTACGCAACGGAACTTGATGCTATGTTTTTTTTACTAGATAGAGCGATACAAGAGGAAGGTTTATATGTATACATATTGCACCCGTGCGAAGCCGGGGCGGGTCGCCAGTACTTAATAAAATGTGTTTGTATTCTCACCGAAATCGCTGTCATGCTGATTGGACAAACCGTCCCCGGCACCTCGCTCGCTCCAGTCGAGGGGGCTCGGGGGACTTGTGTCGGGCAGCGGCGGTGCAAGAGGTGTGGAACTCTTCAGCGGAGTGGTCGGCACTTCTGGACGGACCGGAGTCGTTGGCGCGCTTTTATTCTCGTTCCTCCTGAACGACAAATGCTCTATACGCAGCTTACTCGATGCTCGGCTCATTATCGAGTCCCGTCTCTCCCTCTCCTCTCCACCGTTAACGCTCTTCGTCAAGGCCGTGTAATTCGGTTGCAGATTTTTGTTCACCTCGTTCTGGTAGTCTTCCTGGAGCCATGGTGGCACCTGAAATGTAGGACACGGCTGTGTATTCCATTCGGTTGTATGCATTTACTTGGCGTTTGCAGAAATAATTTTATTTACTTTTAGTATACTTTGTTGTAGACCTTGCTTGTCTCGAATGATTTGTATGTGTGTGGCGAGAGGGTGTTGCACAGGTGATCTACTGTCGAGCTCGCTTAGGCTTGCTGATATTTTATATCGGACCGCTTCTAAGTAAGTCAGCATTGATCTCATCTGAAAAAATAATGCATTGGAAATTAACAGGAAAATTAAATCTACTATTGTAGTGCCACGCAGCAGTCTTCGCTGTTACACGTATGGGCAGATCCGTCCGTCAGTATCACGCCCTCACAGAAGACTGGCTCTCGCCAGTGGCCAGTGGTCTGGCCAGTGGAAGTGTCATACTTCTGCGTTTCGTCTGTGAGTGAGGTAACGGAGCCCATTTAATTGAAAGGTGGCAACGCATTCGTAAACCTACATTAGATTTTGCAAATTCCTATGGATGGCAGCGGTTATCTTTTAATGTCAGGTGAACCGCCAGCTCGCTTGCAATCTTCTTACATAAGAAAATGATGATATTTAAGGGCAGAAATTGTTTGTTTACCTGTTTCATTGTTTTTTTTTTATCTCAGAGATATGTTATAGATATTACTTTAATGATAGCGTTTAAATCTGAACCCGAACAAACTATATTATTTCTATGGAACTCTTCTGCAGTTGTCTTTGTTAACATTATATTAAGTATATCACATTACACATACATATTTATTAGAGTATCCAATACGTAAAGAGTTTAATATACTTACGTGGAACAATTTATCAGCTACATTTTGTTGGGAATCGTCATTTCCGAACGTTGGAGTCTGTTTGATTGCCATAGATAACTTTTCCAAACCTTGTTTCGACTTTCGCTCTCTGTCTATGTCTTGTTTCACTAACTGGAGGATCTTTAACAAGGCCTGAAATAATGTTAATGGAGTTTTTATTTACACTAAACATATCCGCTTCAAATGGCCGTTCGATTAATTTTCATATATTGCGTTGTTTGCACCTGCTTACGGCGTTCCCTGTTCATCGCGAGCGTTGTGTGTTCGCAGTAAAAGTCAGGTAAAAGCTGCTCGCTCGCGCCCGCCGGAGACGATCTCACGCCGCGGACAACTCGCATATCGACGTTTGCATTGGCGTTTTTTATTGGGCCCGCTAGAGCGTTCGTCGCCTGCGCATGAAACGATTAGACATCATTCATATGACAATAACATTTGGCTTCATATTAGCGCGTTGAGTGCTTACCTCCGCAAGTTGCGGGGGCACCGCCGCCGTCAGCCTTAGGTAGCAATCGGCTGAAGTTTTCAGCTGTGCGAGTCTTTCCTCCTCTAGTGATTCGAGCATACCAGCGCCCTTCACCACACTTGTCTCCCATTCTAACCTATTCAATAATGTGATTGTTAGTGTTTGTTGTACCAAATGAATCAATTTATTATTAGGGAGATTTGTACCTGGCCCGTTCCGCTTGAACGCACACGTTGTAATATTCGACCTCAGTCTTTTTGACGGCGTCCTCTGTCTTCCGCTTCTTGACCTGCAGCTTGGCGGCGTCACGTTCGCTCGTGTTGTTGGCCAAGCGCTCGGCTCGGGCCGCGCTCAGGATCGAGTGCGGGATGTGCCCAACGCTCGAACTGCGCGACATGCGGCTGCGAACAAACGAAGCTACTGATGATACTCACAAGTCCCCTATGACGATCGCAACGCAAACGCACAGCAACTTTCGCAGCGGACGCGCACAGAGGAAAGGAAGACCAAAATAAGAGCGTGGCAACATTTTCGTGGGGCGTATCGCAAATTTGCAGACCTAATGTCCAGAACGGCGTCTTGAAGTTTCTCGTTCTCCCTCGCTGCCGCGTGTGATTGACGCTTCGATTTCGCTTCAGCCGTTCTCCAATCGGTTAGAGACCTCGTTGTCTTGTCAACGTTACCTTCGATCTGTAAACACAGCGAACAACGATGTAAAAAGAAAACACGCCTGCACAAGCAGTTGCAGACTATCTTATTCATTACGAATTCAAAGCTGTGAGCACGCACCTTCTTCCTTAATTTAAGTTGATTATCGATAATATGTTTCATTGGCTTCACTAATTCTTCCGAAAGAGCATTGGAGTAGTTTCTGAAAAAATATTTTCATTACGCGTCTGAAAAAACATATGGTAAAAAAAAGCAGCACGAATTGTAGATCATTACCGATGAATTTCCGATCTCTTTTCCATTTCAATGGCCACATGTTTCCACGCTTCTGTGCAGGATCCGATACTCTCTTTGCACGCTTTGCTTAACTTCGTGCCCAGCTTGGCGAGACATTTAGAATAGTAATTTTCTGCTTCGACCCTGAACAAAGATTAATTTGCAATACAGAAAAATGTGATAAACTTTGGTTCAGAAATTATTACAAAACATGGTTATTTCTTAATATTTTTTTTTATTATACGTTTATGTTCATTGAATTTTTTGTCGCCTGCACGTTTGCTCTTATTTTATAAAAAAAATAGATTATTTATTAATATAAATAGATTTACAATTGATACAATACTAACCCCCACACTAGGCGCAGCCTGTCCAATGGTTCCCCCACTGGACAGGCTGCGCCTAGTAATAAATAGCCTAGTAAATAGGTTAATGATTGAATAAAAAAATTATGTATCATTTTTTTCATGTCTTTAACATTGGCAAAAAGGGTTTCTATATAAAGTTACCTTCTCACTGTTAGAGATCGACTAAATAACAGATTTTACAGCCGGAGAAAGTCGCCTTCAACTATGTCAATAACATTTGCCGGTAACAATTGCAAAGATAGCGATGTACAATTTGTTCTTACGACGACTGTTTCAGAAAAGTCAACCGATTTCAGTATGAGGTCGCTCGATTGAGTCATAAACAATAAAGCATTGTATTATCGCTTCACTGGAAAGTAAGCGTTGCACAGAAAGACAGATAAGATTGCTTATCTATAGCGTGTATACTACAATCTAAGGAAACTTTTTCTTGCATGGAACGTTGTTCTCGGACGTCAATAATAATTTTCCGTTAGTGAAGACAGTAACATTCACGGAATGAATAGAATTTAAGTCAAAAACGAAGAAGAAAACTCGGCTATTATAGTATAATTAATAAATAATCCTTACTAATATTATAAAGGTGTACGGATGGATGTTTGTTAATCTTTCACGCAAAAACTACAGAAACTTTACAATGACATAGCTTATACATCAGAATAACACAGGCCATAATTTATAAAGAATAAGTGTCAAATAAGTAGGAAAAAATTCAGCCATCAAATTGTTAATTCCCTGTGGCCGCGCGGGCGAAGCCGCGGTTAACAGCTAGTTATAGTATGATTATAATCTTCTTTACCTTTCCTGTAAAATTGCCGCCAATTCTTTGCTGAAGTCGCTTCCTTGCTTTACGTAACGACGTAGTTCGTCAAAACCATTTTGGGCCTGGAAGAAAAAATTTTTAATTAAGAGGCTTTATAATTATAATACTCTATATTCTAGTGCGTGTCATATGTTTAGTTCTGTAAGTAATCAAGATTAATTATAAATATTAACCGAAAATTATGGCTTAATCGAGCATTGCGTCGTCACATGCCTAGATATACAACCGAACTAAATTCATTTCATGTTAACATTAACAAATACCCTACTTAACATTGTCATAGGTTTAGTAAATTTCAAGCCTCATCCTGATGAATATTCCTTGTAAAAATCTTGGTGGAAATGTGAATGCATCTTGGTCCCCACGTCAAATATAACGTGACAATGACACGCGTGTCCACTGATTTCTGCTTTATGTAATCGAGCAACGTGACCTTTCGCTGGTTAACGAGTACTGCATATTTAATTTGAAATCAGTGGAATAAAGAATAATAAGAAATAAGAATACATCATTTTCCCGCCTAGATTAGGTGTAATGAGAGCGAACGCCGAATAAAAATGCATAGATATAATAAAAAATGACACCCAATATTGTCATATCAAAAACAATACCAGTGTGAAAAAATATGACGTAAATAATTTCCTACGTTAAAACCGTGAGTAAAGGCCCATTTTTGTCAAGCAAAAATTTTAGAATAAGTTGTCTAAAAACTAAACAACAATTATTAAATAAAAAATTTACGTTTTTTTTTAAGTGAGAAACCTTAGAATACACAGCAGTGCAAGTGCTCATGCACACGTGTGTCAGTATGAATGCAAATGTAATGGTAGGTAGGTATATGTCTATTGTTATGAAACAATGTCCCTCGCGATTTTATGCTGACTGAAACTATATGAGTATGCATAAACGTACTGGTAAACTTGTGTACGTAGTGAATTAGAATGATGGACACTTAAATCTACAAATTAAGTACTAGAGTTAAACTATAGAACTGAACTTTTCAGTTTTAACAGTTTATAAAGTTTTGTGATATGAAAAACCTTAGAAAATATCAAAATGTGTAATATTGTTGAAAAAAAAAATAATCAAAGAACCATGAAAGCCAGATGCGATAAAATCTTTACAATAGTTTTATTGACCACCTACTTATATAGTATTCTCGTAAATACAAGAAAAAAACATTGAAAATTTTGTTAATTTGACAAGCCAAATTATTAAAATTTTTTGGCAATTGGAGTTACCATGAAGGATTGTAAATGAATTTTCGGGAACCGTGTATCAATAACGCAAAATCGACAATGTGTTACAATAATTAGTAAGTTATTCAAAGTGAAGAATAATTTGCTTATAGTATAGATCTTTATATTGGTAACACATTAATTATTAACATCGCATCTTAACAGCTCTTTCTGCAGATTGCTTAAAGATGAAAGATAGGTAATAAATAATTATTTACTGCTCTGTAAAATCTCAAAAACGAATAAACTTCTGACGATGTTATTTGAATCTGCATGATTGCAACTTTATGTCTCTATACCAGTGGTATTAATGGTATATGACAACATCTATACAACGAAAAAAGGTTTTAGGTTTTTTCTATGTGAAAAGGTGGCAAACGAGCTGGCGGTTTACCTGGTGTTACGCGATAACTACCGCCCATTGACATTTGCAACAGTCGTAGCAGACAGGGTTGCAGACGTTACCACCGTTTAATAAAGTCGGCCACGGCTCCCTCACTCACCGGACGAAACGCAGAATTATAACACTTACGCGTCCGTTCGCTTAATTATCATCCCTGTCTGCCCATTCTTTCAACAGCGAGGATTGTTGCGTGGTCCTACCACAATTAGGTTTTAGGTGTAGGAACGAAGAAAGAAAAAAGACCATTGGGAATGTTTTATTTACTTATTATTTATAGGAATATAGTAATATTTAAATACAAAATAAATAATATTTGTATCGTAAGTAGCCCAGCAGGTAGCTGAAGATGTTGTGAAACACGGTTAAGGGGAATTCAGCTTTTGCATATTTCGATGTTTTTATAGTTTAATATATCTCAATTTAAATAACTCAAAACCGAAAAAAGTTATAACAAATACATTATGAACAATGAACTAGAAACTGAGGCACTCAAATTACGGCAATTGGTGTAATTATTGAGATTGCAATTCTGCTGTTATAGACTTCTGCTATCTCTTTCCGTTCGATATCATCTGTTAAATACAATTATATATGTCATATATTGCAAATCAGAACAATTTGTTGTTACAAGTATCAACGTATCGTTATTAAAATATCATTGACTAGGAACCATAAAATTATTATTGTAATTTTATAGTTCGGATAGTTTTATCGCCTTACTCGCCCTGCAAATTGTTTCAAATATTCAGTTTAAGTATAATTTTGTTAGCATTCAACATAAGTTAGTAAGATGTGAAATAATATTGCCGAAATAAACGGTCCTGTGAATGTATATGCAGACTGTTTACTAATACTTGCTCTCATCTGAGCGTTTTACGTTTGTTATGCGTGTAGGCCTGCACATTGCCTCTCCCAAGGCCTTGCCATTATATCATAATTAGTCAGTATATTATGTATTTCTAATTGCTGTATTGCTGTGGTCCGAGCGTTTTACGTGTGCATGTTAGCATATGTGTTAATATGTTTGTATGCGCCTGCGTATAGCAAAGCTTTAATAAAAAGCCACCATGGTGTATTATTTGTGTATGCATTTTACAAGTATGCTTAAAATTGATGTTGAAAGGACTCGTGAGTATCGGTGGAAAAAAAATTGAAACTCAAACATTATTTTTATGTTTTATTAACCATAAGCCTCTCGTGTCATTTTTTCATAGTGAAAACGTGAAGAATGAATCATGTCTAATGTAATATATGATAAACAAAATGTAAAATCACTTTTGAACTTTTGATTCTCTATATTCATCACATTCTGTCGTAATTTAGTTTACTTTTCAGAAGTTTCACTTCTACTGTGTGTAAATTTCACATATACACGTTGCACATGACAGTAGATAAAAATGTTTCGTATGAACTATAACTGCCTTTTGCCGATATCACACTAGCAGTCGTCTGGGTACGCTAGTGATTGCATCCTCTTGTAGTTTCATGAAATGCGTAATTGCGTTCATCAACTTTTTTCTGATGCGTCCTATATACCAAATACGACAGAACCTTCACCATAAGGTGTATAAACACGCCTCTGCAAAGCGTACTCGTTGTGTTTGTAGCTCTCACTAATGTCCGTCTTCACCGTACAAAGTCCAACCTTTTCCATCTCTAATATTTATTTACTACTATTTCTGATGCAGTGTTTAGCTAGAGATGAAAAATTTATTGGCCATATCTGTGCGTAATTGTAAAATTTTTTTTGATGTACCAAACTCATGTATGTTTTCCTAACCAATACAATAGAATAAAATAAATATAAATATTCAACATGTTTAAATAAGGAAGATTTGGAACGAGCCGGCTACCCGAACCCCAGGGGAAAAATATAGGATTTCTTTTAAAGACTTATTCTACGAACTAATAGTTTTGTCGGTCAGTTCGACCTTCGTTAACATGAATCTATTCTGAATTAAATCATGTTAAATGAACTGTTTGCGTGCGTTTAATTACCTTTTGCAGAGTTATCGTCTTATACCATTGGAACTAGATTTCTTTTTTTTAATGCTGCCGTGATGCTTTCTGAAGTACACGTTTCGCTTCTAAATAAGCCTATGCTTGGGTATAACATACCTGTTAACTGTATCTTATCTTATATACTATATTAAAACAGTTGCAGCGTAGTCAACATTAACAAATTATTTATGAAAAATTGAAATAGGGCATCTCAAAAAGAGTTATAGAACACATAAAAACCTTTTTTGAAATTTTTGTCTCTCTCTCTGTATTTCTGCATGTCTGTTTTTCTGTTCGCTCAAAACTTCAAAATTACTCATCAGATTTTGATGCAATTTTTACTGGTTACTTAAGTTAAGCTTGGGGCGACATACAGGCTTTGTTTTATCGCAATCGGTTTTCAAGCGAAAGATATACAAGGACAAAGATTTAAGCAGTGCGGCCGCAAACTGTGTTATCACAGTTAGCCAAGTACTGGATCAATTTTGTCTGTGTTTTTGAAAGTATATGAATACTACTTCTGTGCAATATTAAGGCCTTATCTTGAATAATATGAGTGCCGTCGTAGAAGTAACATAACGCAGAATATTTATAAAAATTTATAGTGCTAATCTCTGCTATATCACATGAGATATTATATTTTGTAGCGTTTGGGCATCGATCCCCGCAGCGTCGAAATATATTTCATCAAACTTTAATGTTTCATCTTAAATGCAGAAATTTTCAAATAGCAATGGTGCAAATGAGTTATATTATATAAAACGATATTTGAAAGTGTTTGTCTACTGTAAAGTAGATAACAATAGATGCGCCAAGCTTATAATGTGCGTTCAAAAATAAGGCACAGACTCTACTTGTTAGTGCTTTTACCTAACTTTTACCTAAAAGTACCTAACTTGAAATATATGCAAAATGTTAAGGAAAAAAAGCAGTAAGCTTTTTCGTGAAATTATTAATCTATTATTGCGCTGCCGGTATAATCTCTACTAAATAGAGCCACGTGTCAATGTGGGATCAAAAATATGGCATTAATTTAAATTAGTTTTAGGTGATTAGAAATATATTTCTTCGATAATCACAAGCGTTTGGTACAACACTTGGGCAAATATGAAGTTTTAAAACATACACCGAAACAAAATAAGACTATTTAACAGGCAGCTGTAACAGCCTAATCATTTAGAAACACCCATATTTTCCTAACAGCTTTATATTAAGGAGATTCCGAGATGGAACTGAAAACGCTATGCCATTTTTTTCTTTTTTTTTTTTTTTTTCGAGTAAATACATTAACATTTTTGTATTAAATTTCCCTAACTTTCGAAAACTTTACAGCATTCAATTCATGGTAAAATAGCTAAATGCCTAATAAAACAATACCGTAATTCCATGTGATAGAGTAATTTGGGTTGTCACGAAGCAAGAGGTGCGTGTTATTGTTTTGGGTTTTCGTTTTATTTCTTTTTTAATTCTGTACAACCCACAGATAATGGTTCCGGATCTGGGTCCGCACTCCCAAGGAGAGTTAACGTCGGCCATTCGTTACAAATTCAAGCAATTCGTAAATGAGGTTCGTGATACAAGTATGTCATCTGCTAGCAAATAATTTTTCAAAAATTGTCTAAGGAATTCGGGAGCGACCTATCGCGGTTACTTTCTTGACTCTTTCTATTCAATATGAAAATTCAAAACAGGTGATTGGCGAATGTTACTTTAACTGCTGGTCACGCATAACAACGGTATACGTTATTTGATTAAATTATACCATCAATACCTTATAGCTTAGCTTATTATGTAGCTTACACACATATTGTGTTTTCTTCACGATGTAACTTTCTCTGCAGTGAAAATTAATTCGAAACATTTCGACATTAGGATCCAAAGTCCGTTGACAGCGGCCATCACATGTGCCGGTTTTAAAAATTCAACGCATGATTTGAATGGTGTGGTGGCAGCGCATTTCCGCTCGCTCGGGAAGTACACACCTCCATTGTGAAACGCGTTTCCATCGGGCCTGAACCAAAATAGAAAAGTATCTGTAGATAAATAACGGACCGCCTATATCTTCCTGCAGAAGTCTTTCTATATGAATACAGAAACGTATAGTTGGAGTTTACGGCCATTGCAAGTATTTTCTATTATTCCTTGCAAATTATCTCCGTGATGTTGTTATCAACGTCGCAAATTGTAATTAAATAATTTTCGAGAATACATTTGTTAATTGCTGTACTGGATACGCACATTTATGCATAGTAAGGAAGAAATGCGTAATTGCTGACAAATAAAGTGATAGTTTTAACGCCGAGCTATCGTCTTTCAATAAATAAATCCGATTTTAATGTATGTAGAAATATAAGGTAAATATGAAGAATATATTTCTGTGCGAGTCAGCTCTAGGTCAATACACAGTTCAAAGTCAAAGCAGAAATTAGAACTCAATAACTGATTTAGTAAATTTATTAGACGAATGTTTTTGTTTATATTTTATTATTAATAATTTTATACTAGTCTCTTCTACAGCTGTAAAATAAAAGCATATATTTTATGCAAATACATTCATTGTTTTACGAAGAGTGCAATGTCCTGCTTGGGAACAATTATTTGAATCCAACAATTATCTGCGAGTCACAAATTATGATCGCCTGAATCGAACCCACGACCTTCGGCGCCGACGCTAATAGCTTAGCACCTGCGCCGTTGAGTTAATTATCACTACATAATATAAAACAAAATTGTCCCGCTGTCTGTCTGTCCCTATATATGCTTAGATCTTTAAAACTACGCAACGGATTTTGATACGGTTTTCTTTAATAGATAGAGTGATTCAAGAGGAAGGTTTATATGTTTAAGGTTTATAATTCATGCATAATACGGTAGTGTAACACGGATAGTTTTAGAGGTTTCTAATGCGATGTCTAAAACAAACATTCAGCATTACACCCGTGCGAAGCCGGGGCGGGTCGCTAGTGCCTAATATATGTTTATTTTTTTATATAGCTTGGCTGCACGGGTGGTAATGTAACACCCGTGGTTTCGGTCATAATAAAAATGAATAAATGGCTTCGTACCTTCGTCGTTTCTTCATCAATATATCACAGAATTATCCAAAAATGAAGTTGAACGCGCAAAGTAAACATTTATCGACTTTACTGGACGGAGCCTCGTGCTAACGGATTAATTTTAAAATAAGGGTTGACTTATAAATGTGTATTTATGAGGAAATAGGCGCTATAATATCTGAACCTAGTGGCTGTTCCCGTTTATATCCAATAATATATAAAATTGTCCGCGTGTGTGCGATTTCTCTTTTCTTTTCTTTAATGCCTTCTCTGTATCGTTTGACCGGTTTTCGCTTCTATGCACATTATAAATCATGACGATTGTGTCGATAGGCGGCGGCTAATGTGTAGAAATTCGTAATTGCTGTGCCCATTTAATAAAACTCACCCTTTTTGCACGAGTACTTTTAGCATATGTTCATTACCATCGAAAATTACCTAGGATAAGTTTCATATAAGCCGCGATGGGCGCGATTTTTTATTAAACATCTAGCCTAATACCTAGAAACGAGGACAAAATGACTTAGCAGCAGTACTAACGTTTAACAATCACCCGGTACCGGACTTCGACATAGACTAGTTGCGCATATCTGTTATAACACGGACTGTGAGACTCTCACTAGTAAGTACGATAGCGAGGAGTTCTGAATGAAATATACGAAGTTACACATATCAGCTTGTAAGCGAGAACGGAATTTGCATTAATGATTTTTCAGACGTCACTAACACCATACGATTTGGACGCGAAAACTTTTACTCGTATTTCATTTTATCAACTGCGCTGTCTCAATTGTCGAGGTTTAACTACGAAGTCGCTTTCACCGAATTTTCTGAGAACCTAGTAATACATTACCTCAATTACGAGAGCTGGAGCACTTTCTCTCTCGCAACAACGCCGGCGTGGGCGGGGGTCTTTAACAATCGTGGATTTAATTATTTTTATGTCTTGAAGCGTTCGTGACGCAACACGAAAAATACGTAATATTTGCCATGTGTGCTAGACGTCTTGCTCAGCGTGCCCGTTAACAAGTAGAAAATTATCTGATAGCATTTATCACACCAACTGTCACGGTTTTTCTCCGTTCTCTATCTGAACGTTACGTTGAATGAGGAATAAATACTACAAGGGGTATGAACAACACAATGGATAGTTACCCAATAGTTATCCTTAAACGCCTGGTTGTTCGAGGAGCGTAAGTTGATCATTTCCTCCAGCGTGTTCTGCCACCGGTCCATGCCGGCCGCGAACTTCGTGGACACGTTCTCCCGATTCATGGTGACAGTTGCATCATCTTCTTGTCTCTGATGAGAAGCCGTGGCATTACCGATGCTGTTGCCTTCCTTGCTGCCGCTGCTGAAAGTTCTGCAACCGATAAGTTAACCACGACTTAGAATCGGTAAGACATAGCTTAGATTAAACTCTACGATTCTACGGCACCCGGCTGAGTTTTACGACTATATTAAGTATATACCTGCAACGTATATATAGACAATATTCAAATCGAAATTATAAGTTAATTTACAATCGACTAAGAATTAACTTGCGATTGGTCATACTTCCGACTGCGATGCGTAACGTTCTCTTAGTCATCACGTTGAGTTTTCTAGACTCCGTTGTGATAAATTAGAACATTCGAATCATGCGGAAGCGATGTATAAAAACCGAATTCAGGTGATGCTGTCATTGTTTAATAAAAGCGGTAATGTTTTTAAACGATACGTGCGTAACTGATAGTTATAAAGTGCCGCGTTCATTTCTCACAATTAATATATCAAATATGACAAAGAATAATTTTTTACGTTACGCATACGTTACTTTTGACGTTAATATTATTTGCAGTGTTATAAACGTATTTTCTGGTTTTTGTTCGTATGTGTAATATGTTGTGTCGTATTATAAATTGTGTTGTATCTTTAGTAGAACCTTTTATAACAGTATATTTTTTATAATTATTTCATAAATGACATTTTATCGTGTGTCTTGTGTGTCCTTGAGTCTTGAGAGTGCACGTACCTCACTTATCCTAAGGCGAAGGCCTTTGTACAAGTTCAAAAAAATAAATAAATGAGTGCCATAGTTAACATTCGTACTGACGTCTGTTTCTATTAAATAATACAACAGCAATTGCTACAGGTTATAACAAGTTTATAGTCAATTTTGTTAGTGTCAAAAGCTAAACTGTTGAACTCGCGCCAAGAGCTCTGGCCACACGTGCCAATAGGTGTAAAGAATTTCGAAAAGAGAGACTTTGGATCGTGTTACTATTTATAATGTGGTGATTATATTAAGTTTTGTTCAAGATATTTAGTTGAACAGAAACTACCAACAATTTGGTGTTGCCACATCATCATATCATCAATAATAGTAATAAAACATTTACTTAATTGTAATATTTATTTTATTACTTATTACACTTAATAGTAAATTTTTTAAGTAATATTATTATTAATAAATATTATTTTAATATTATTTCACGACATGTAAGTTTACATTAAAACTAAATATATTTTTTTTTAAATAATGAAGTATTATGATATATTATATTTATAATTCGTTGAAATGACGATAACTAACAGTAGACAAAAATTTTCCGTTTTTAGCCTTAACGACATAATGAATAGCTTACGTCGTTACAACGTAATTCAATACAAGAATGACGTAAATTAGAGAATAGAATAATGATTTAAGTAACTAAGATGTTTTATACCGAACGCTCGTTTTGTACGGTCTCGTTTCAGAGCCAAAAAGTATTTGAAAACGGGTTGACACAGGATTTAGGTAAAAATGCCAGACGAAGAGAATATGGTTTGGTTTAGATGCAACATTCGACATATTTTAGGCTCGTAGCAAATGTATTGATTAGTTGTACATTAATTCAGGGGAACCGGTTCTGTGATAGGTCTAAAAATAAATGGAACTACGCGATATGGCATTCAAGGGCCGTAAAGTTGGCTTGGTTTTCGTCATACGATTAATTTGTTCTGCTGGCAGTTTCGGATAATGTAAGTATTCGGCATTTGTATTAACTGCCGCCTTAGTCACACATAAAGTGATCTATTAGCCAAAATGAATGGCAAATCGGATGGTTCAATGGTCGATACGATTTCTTTCGTGTACGAAGAATACGTAGGACAAGACCCCAGAGCAAAATCAATCAGTGTTTGTGTTAGTACCTATTGAATATTTAATGCGTTTCTTGTTACATCTGTACATGTCTATTATAGTCAGTTATAGGCTTGTTAATCGTTCTTATAACAATAACACAAAGTAGATATTGACATTTTGTGCAATGTCGAAACGCGCATGGGCGCAAAGGCACCGAAGATTGGCATGGTCGACTGGTTATATAAGCTTTTGTCTTTGAGCCGATATCGTGGTTCTTGGTCTCCGAATATGCATTTATTAGCTAACAGTTTCTTTAGGCAACGTCAGCGTTCTCTAATAGATTACTTTGCCACCATCTTATTCATTGTGTACTTTCAATTGTTGAAGATGTTCTTTACTTTCCTTTTTCTATCGTTTTATGTCACGTTTGGTTAGATTTATTGTTTGTTAGAAATCACCATCATACTATCGATATTCGGCTTAACTTTTACCCGAATGCGTTACATCGACTTTCGTTTACATAATGCGAGTGGCCTTGCCTCGAGGTCTTTTTGAACGCGTATCTCTACATGTACACGAACACGTGTCTTTTCCGTTCACGATTCCTCTTTCTGAATGTCATTTAACTGCTAATGACAAGACTATATTATTTGTAGGTATTAAGAAAGAGAGAAAAATGGTAATCTTTATTTCTTCCTTTAAACGAGCAATTCTTGTATATATATATAATCGGAAACGGCTCCAGCACATATTTTCATGAAATTTACTATGTGAGTAGATTCGGGGGCGAAAAATCGATCTAGTTAGGTTTCATTTTTAGAAAATGTACTTTTATCCCTGTTTTCAGGGAATGAAAAATATCATTCGAAAATGACGATAAATGTCGCCGAAAAAAAAATTTTATAATAGCTCGGTCGGTAATCGGCCGGCCCCGAAACAGAAGGGCCGTGGTTCGTGTCACGATCATTTACACACTTATTTTTTTACTTTTTTTTCGATTCCAGATCATTGCTTTCTTTATTTTTTGATTTTTTTGTCAATCCAGATGATTTTGTTCTTTTTTCCCCTTTTGTTTACAGATCTTTCTTTTGTGAAAAACACCAGTTCATATTTTCTTATTATTACGTCGGTAAGATCGAAAAACATTATGCATATTTCATTACTCAGTAATTTGTATCTAAATGTAATTTCCAAAACACACGATTTACCAAAAAAAAAAGAACAAACCGATCAACGCTCGGTCCTCCAGGTACATATTATAAAAAGTAATCTGTGTGAAATATCATAATTGATTCGGTTTTTGAAATATGTTTTATGATTACTCATGTTCACATGAATCGTAATTTTGTTTAGTAAAAGTAATTGACGGATTTAATAGGGTTAACTTTCAGTTTGATTACCCGTCATTTCGAACACTTTATATAATCCATAGTCACGGAATAGTTTATCTATGATCGGAACAGTATTTACAACTGAAAACAGCTTAAATTAATGATGTTTTAAAAAAGATGGCGCATGTCCATGCATAAAAAAACAATTACTAATATAAAGTTAAAAATACTTAAAATTGTTTAAAAATTGTTACGCGATATACATTATATGACATACATATAACTGAATGTGACAGGTGATACAGAACATTTGCTACGCAAAGAGATAGTGGTGTGTAGAATTACAATCTAACTACATCAATTGGCTTAATTTGAGTGCCTAAATTTCGGTGCGCTAGTGTCATATCTAATTTGTATTTGCATATAATATCATTAGCTTTATTAAACTACAAGACCATAGTTATGACAAACGGCTAATTCTCTAATTTCTCACGGCAGATCGACTATCATACAGTCGTCAATCAAAATACTATAAATTTCTAATCGAAGAGAATTAAAAAGAAACAGCTTACCTCATCCTATTCCTTGAATTCAAAGCGAATCAAAAGCTACAATAATACTGAACTAATAATAGGCTTGGTTAAAGATACATTAAAATAAACAAGTACCTCAATATATTATTAAATATATATTGATAATAACCATCTACCCATGAAAGCATGATGAACGTTTTATAGCTGACTGACTGGATCTCATGTCATGGAAATACCAATCCGTCGATAATCTTTAAACAACTTTATGTTCATTGAAATTAGATTTAATTTTTTATTATGCACCGTGGACAAGGATTGTTACATTCATGCCATTTAGAAGAGTCTTTTTTTCGTTTATTAGATCATTTCATTAAACTGGTTACGTGATTGGTCAACAGGATTATGGTACTTTAAGTTATTTTCAATTGCAAAATCAATAATATTATTTTGGTTACGCAAAGTAGCCTTTGGTAAAATTCAAAATTATTCGAAACCTAATAAATGTTTATTCTTTAGTTAAAACCAAACCGTCAGTAGCGGATTTGCCCTAAGGCGCAATAGGCCCGGGCCTAGGACATATTAGGAGCGGCCAATCGTGACAAAAAATTCACTGATGATAAGAACATATATGATGGGCGCTGAGAAAGAGGCCGCTGGAACTAATTACATGGAGTGGGGCTAGGGCTTTCAAGACTTCAAATCCACTACAAACCGTAATGTACAAGAAACTTACGATTATTTTAACATTAATAAGATAAATAAGATTACCAAAATAAAAATGAAACAGTCATTTTCGAATATAATAATTTAAGAAATAAATTCGAAGTAATTTATTAATCTGTGAAAAAGTGTTTGAAAATATTTTGGTGTCAATTTACAAATTATTTTTTTAGAGAGCGCTTATATTGATTAAAAAAGTAAAGTGAAATTAATAAAAAAGAAATTTATCCTCATTTTTATGGAATATTGCCAGTACTAGTTTAATGTATGTCTGAAAAAAAACTTGAAGTACTTTGTCAAACTTATACGGATGATTCTATCCAACCCATGGGAAGACGTTCGTTTCAATTTTTGTACGTAAAATTTTGTACTTTATTTATACGTAATTCGCCTATTCTCTTCAATAAAATTGTTCAATGTGAAAAACATTGCCGCTCTTTTTCGTCATCACTACCATAACTAACATAAGACGGTTGCCGTAGAATCCATAATTGACATTTGAAGTCTGTCGACGAATCTTCAAATTTTTTTTATCTGAGAAGGTGGCAAGCGAGCTGGAGGTTCACCTGATGTTAAGTGATAACCACCGCCCATTGACATTTGCAAAACCCGTAGGGTTGCAGATGTATTGCAACCTTTAAATAAATTGGACCTTTAAATAAGAAGACGAATAATGGGACGTTTAAATAAAAACAAGTCGTGGTCTGTGAGGTTCTGTTGGGTCGTGGTACTTACCGAGACGGACCTGCCGAAGCTGTTGTGTGGTACTACAAGAGTTGTTACCGTTAAAGGAGATATTCAATTTTAACGTGTAAATAATCGTTTTATCGATATAAATTGTAACCGGCATTAATTTCACCCAAAAATGTTTAGATGAAGTTCCTACATCGCCAATCTAAATCCATTACCAAATTATTCATTCCATATTTACTCAATGTAAATTATTGTGGGTTAATATAATCAAGTGATGTCAGAAATACATAGTTGTTTCGTCGTTTGTCAATCGCATCATATGATTAATTGTAAATCATTTAATTACACCTCTTATAAAAGATAAATGGAATTTGGAAAATATTCCAAAAGTCAATCCGTACTACAAGAATTTATCAAATGCCGCATATTAACTATCGATACTGCCTGTGAAACATGTTTTCTGTTCTCATAAACGTTGTGAACGATTTTTTGCAACGTTTAAGCAAGGAAGAAAACTCTGAAGAAAGTTGTCAATCCCGTTAGAAATAGTGACGCTAAATAGAAATCGGACAGATATTTGAAATTATTGATATGTTCCTTATATCCAATAGACATATTAAGTTAATCGATCAGTTATAAAGTTATTCACTTTTCTTCATCTATATATACATACACTTATTTTGCATGCCACACCAAATTCATTTCTAAAATAGAACATCTATAAGAAGTATTAAATTATATGACGTATATTACGGTATGCTAATATAAATATCATATATTTTAATACTTCTTAGTAGTTCAACTATCATTATACTCATCATTCACAGCTTTCCTCGTCCCACTTATGAATATAGGCCGATGCTTACGCGGTCTTCTTCAATAACATTTTCTTCTGCTTCAAATTCTTACGTCATCGTTGACACATCTCACTGCCAGGCGAAAACACTACGTTGCCCTAGTACCTATAACGTAGTTTTCTTGAAGTGAAAACTTCTTTAGGCATGTTGAGGACTTTTTGGGTGAACAAAAATCATGGAACTCGCGTCAACGTCACCGAACGTTTTTCATGAGCTATTTTTAAAAAAGGAATGCGCGAAAAATATCCTTGTAGTAGATAATGGATATGATTGAAATACTGTTATTATAGTTCGGAGTGCCTATAGCCAAAAACAAAACCGACTTCAAATATCTCGCTCTGTATTAATTTTATAATTTTTTTTCAGGAGTTCCCTGAAGTATCTCCGGAGCCCAAGATCTAATACCAATGAATTTAATATGGGACCACATGGGAAGTACCACCTTTGATCAAATCGGTGTACTCAGTCGAAAGATCTGAGGTAGCAAACACAAACAAATTGCAGTCGAATTGAGAATCTTCTTCTTTTTTGATGTCAGTTGATATAATATGTAGAATTAAATATTAATAATTATACAATTTTAACTTTGGTATTGTTTTATGTTTTAATTTCTGAAGGCAGTCCCTTTGAGACTGCCTATGTTTTTTTGGATAGAAAGTCTCAAATAGTCAAGGGTTATTAATGCATTATAACAGTTTCGGTCCGCAAACGATTTTTAAAGATAGTAAAGTTTAAACATCAATGGAGTTCTAAATCTCGCGCTTACAACGTTTGAGAAACCGCGGAGTGGCGCAATCGCCATTCGACAACTGTATATTTGGAATTATGATTCCCAGAGCTCAGAAAGTGGCTTGGTGTTACATTAAATATGTATGGTATGGTATGAACAGATTTAATTTAATTTAAATGCTACGTTAACCTTACTTGTGCTTTAAATAAGAACAAAAGTTAACCTAATTTAAGCATTACAAAGTGAATAGTGTAATATATAACTAGTCTGGCCATAAATACTGCTACATAAAAACTTTTCTTTTTTTTTTCAACTTTTTAATTATTTTGAAATTGGGACACGTATATAATTTTAAAAACTTATTTCGATTTTGCACCATTTCACATATTTTTTCGTGTTCATTATCAAATTACAATATGGTGTTCAAGAAAATAGGATTGCAGTGATCGCCTTGCACAAAGCCCAGTCATCCAATCATATTCCAGACACTTCAAAAGCTTGGTAGCAGCCGTATGTTCGTATATCGTACTATCAACAGATACAGCAATACTTCGTCTGTTGAAGATCAGAAAAGATCGGGGCGGCCGCGTGTTGTTAGAATTACAAAGGCTGTTAATGCTGTTAAAGCCAGAATTCATCGTAACCCCATTAGGAAGCAAAAAATCTTATCGCGAGAAATGAAGATTCGCTAGGACTCTGTCGCGTATTATAAAACAAGACCTGAAGCTCGCTGCTATCGCCGATATACAAGACGGGGCCTAAATCAATCTTTACAATTAAAGAGAGTGGATCGATCAAAACAATCAGGTGAAAGGCACAGAAATATCCTATGTACCAATGAAAAAATTTTCACGATTGAAGAACACTACGATAAGCAAAATGATAAAGTGTACGTTCACAGTTCTAAAGAAGCTGCTTAAGTTGTCGGAAAGTTACAACGTGGTCATCATCCTGCGTCAGTGATGCTTTGGTGTGGCGTGTCTTATCAAGGAGTCACAAAACTACATTTTTGTGAAAAAGGAGTGAAAACTTCCAAAGTGTATCAAGATACAGTCTTGGATCATGTTGTGAAACGTCTCAGCAATACCAGCAGGATTCTACACCTGCTCACAAGGAACGAACTACCCAAGCCTGACTTGAAACCAATGTTCCGGACTTTATAAGAGTTGAAGACTGGCACTCATCTAGCCCAGACTTCAAACCCAGACTTCAAATTACTGTCAGTTTAGACGGCATGGCCTGCTCTAAACGACACGGCGACATTGAGTCTCTTAAAAAATCTTTGGAGCAAGCAGTGGCGAAATTTCCCTTGGAAACAGTGCGTAAATCCATAGATTCGTGGCCAGATTAAAGGCCTGTATAAAAGCTAAAGGTGGCCATTTCGAATAGAATCTGTTTTATTTTTTGTTGAGACGTTAATAACTATGAAGGTATAAATTTTAATAATGTTACATTACGTTTGTTAAAAAAAATGCATTTTCTAAAAAAAATTCATTTGTAACAGAACTTATGGCCGCTTTTAAAATTGTGTAGGTGTAGGTAATAATGCAGCTCTTGCATTTTTTTTATAATTTCCGAATGCTTATGGGAGCACCTAAAACGAGTATTTTATGGATAAATGTACAAAAAATATTGAAACATATCGATAGCATAAAGTAGAACAACATTTTTGTTACAATCAATATTCATATAATACGCATTTCCCTCTTTTTTGCCCTAAGAAAATAACAATCACAGCTTTTGATATTTGTCAATGCTTATTTAAAATATACAAAAGAAAATAATTAAACCATGAAGAAATGAAGTAAACGGAGTTAACCGTTTTTACCGGCGATAGCTATCGGGCGATTATGATATCTGTGTAACCAACACCGGTTGGTCTATAGATCGGTTTCATAAGCTGCACGAGAAATGTGAGCAGCTAGCTGCGTTTCTCGGCCATTGCGCAGTCGGCCGAATTGTCTTTACCAATCATACCGCGCATTATCCAATAAGACAAACATTGTAATTCGGCGTGGTTATAGATAAGTTCGGTACTATTATG